TAATAGTCTCTTTAACTTCTAGAACGTCGTATATCTAGGCTTAGGCATAGAGAGTTTGCTATTTATTAAACTACTTCTCTAGCCTAATCTTACTATGCTTAGCTTTATCTAGGTAAGCTTAGTACTTCTATCTAATTTAATTCTAAGTTATAGCCTTACTTAAGGCTAGCTAATCTTTAAGCAGTTTAAGTTATAATTAGAGGCTTAAGTTGTCTATTTAGGAAAGCCTAATTTATACTAGCTTAAGAAAGTCTAGTAAGACTATTTTCGTAATCTAGTCTTAAAGATTTGCAAGTACAGCAGCTTTTTAAGACTATTTAGCAGTAAGAACTTTCTATTATTAGACTCTCTCGTTATAGTTAGCTAATAAAACTTTATAGGCTTTAATATCTTTAATATATTCTTATAAAGACTTTTCATAATTAGCTTTCGCTTTATTAGTAGCTCTAGCAGGAGGATCCTTTAGCTTAACTAGCTTAGTAGATAATCCTAGATATAAAGGAGCGTTATTAAGAAGATTAGATTATAATAAGCTATCTAGATTAATATAGTCCTATATTCGCTTTCTAATAGCATGAACTTTAAGCTAAATATACTATGCTAGCTAGTCTTTATAAGCTTAAAGAGTAACTATAGAAGGAAGTTTTATCTAGTCTGTTTAGTCTATTTAGACTAATATCGTTAGGATAATTTAAGAAGTTTAAGAGGAATAAGAGTAGTAGAATAATTAATTTAAGTACTTAGCAAATATAAGATGCATAGTAGAGAATTAACTCTATGATCCTATAGCGCTGAGCTTATAACTATTATAGCTAAGCAAACTTAAGAGAAAAGATTGTATTAATTACTGCTCTTCTAATATATTAGAAGAGCTAGCTTAAATATATAAATAGATTACAGAGAAACATTAGTCTACTTTCTAAGCTTAGTTAGCTTAGTTACGTGGATTAGTACTTCACTGTTCCTTGTGTATTAATACTGCGACAGAAGATTAAATTTTTGCTTATATAATACTTAATTATATAGTTAAGTATTATATAATAAAATTAACTTAGGTTAACCTAGACTTAACTTTCTTATATAATACTTAACTTTAACTTATATAGTCTTAGCGTTAACTTAACCTTAGTTAACCTATACTTAACTATACTCTAACTTATACCTATATGTAAGTTATCTATACCTATTTGCTAGCCTAATCTAGTGCTACTTTACTCTATCTGCAAAAACTAACTTAAGCTCTTTAATACTAGCTATCTAATTATTAGCTACTTAATAGGTTTTAACAGATAGCATTAGATATAGAGATAGAATATACTAAGATAGTAAGAGTAAGCTTCTATAAAGAATATAATATATTAAGTAACTTAAAGTATAAAGTTAAAGATAATAAGCTATAAGAGTTTATTATCCTAGTCTATATATTAAGAGATTCTATAGTTACTTACTCTACTAACTATAAGCTACGTAAGCTCTGCTAACTATGCTAATAACTATCTGCGTAAGCTATTACGTATAACTAGAGTAGCTTATAATGCTAAGAGTTAGCAGTTATATAACTATTATATTAAAACTAGTTATATATCGCTTATAAGTCGTACTTTACTGCAGAAATGCTAACTATTAGCATTTTATTAATGCCTAAAAGCTAGCTTATAATATTAAGCTTAAGATATTAATAGAAAGATTTCTAAGTATAGACGCAGCCTATACCTTAATATTAGTAAGATTAACTAGAGTATAAAATATAGTCACGAAATATAGTTTATAAAATTAGTAGCTGAAGCTAACTATATAGTATCTATATTAGTAGAGCGTTTATTAACTTAGATAAACTTTTTTAGATTCTTTATTAAAAAAACTTAAAACTTTAAAGCCTTATATCTCTATAACTACTAGGCTGAATTAGGTAATCTATAGCTCATTTTAAAGAGAAAAGCTTGCTCTATATTTAAGGCTTTTAGTATATATTACGTAATTATCGTTCTGGCTAGGTAGAGCGACTTTGTTAATTTTATCGACTAGATATCGTATCGCTGTCAAAAAAAAGAGACTAAGGTAACTTTGTTAAATTATTATATTAGTTATATCACTAGCAAATTGCGGCGATACTACTAAAATACCACAAACTTATTTTCCTAACATAAGAAGAGATTTATTAGAGTATAGCTTATATTATTAAGGTTTAAAGCTAAGTAAGCTACGTTACTTTATTTAGCTCTAACTCTAGTAATACTAGGTTTTTTTTAGAAAGTTTCTAGGATTTTAGAAAGCTCTATATAAGAGCTTTCTAAATATAAAATAATATCTCTAATATGTTAAGAACTTATAGAGTTATATAGAGGAGGATAGTATAGATGCATTTGCATCTATACCTAGAAATTAGATAGAAGACTTAGTAGCGCTTATTTCCCTCTCTATATATTAGTTCGAATCTAGCTTCTCTTATCTCTTAATTTCTTCTATTTTATATACTAATAGATTATAAGTAGCTAAAGAATAACTGCCTCTAAGCCTTTTATTAATACTTTGCAGAAATCTTATATTAATTTATTAAATAGAAATCTTTATATATTAGTTTATACCTTCTAGGCATAGTTCTTTCTTTAGAAAGTAAGGCTAGTAGAGTTTATTATCTTTAAGATTTTTCTCTGCTTAGTTAATTTTATATACTTAAGCACTTTAGTAACTAAAGAACTTTATATTATAATATATCTAGAAAAAATATAATTCTAGTTTATATAGAGTTATATAGAAAAGATTAATGCTAAGAAAAAGTAGCTAGCTTACTAGTTTAGCTAGCTTACTAGTTAAATACATTATTTAGTTAAATTTAGGTAAGTAGGTCTATTTACTTGCTATTTAACTTAATTTCTAAGCTTCTCTAATTAACTTAATTTAATTAATAAAAATGTTAAGAAATAATTAAATTAATTAAGTAGCTTAATTGTTAACAAGTCTGCAAATTAGATAAGGATAGAAGAGGACTAACGCCGGAACTACTGTTCGTTCAGAGGAACAGGAGAACTAGTTAACGAAGGGAGCGATATGAGGTTCATTAATGCTTTCTAAGTCATTGGATACTAAAGGTGTGATAAACTAGATGACTTTCGATTATCAGCGTGATGGTAATTTTGAAATCTAGATTGCTATCTGTTATGCGCTTCGCTTCTCTCTCTTCTTCCTTAACATATCTTGCTTATTACTCGATGTAATCTCTTAAGAGGCCATTCTTAATCTCTTTCTTTTCTTAACTCCCAGTACGAAAGTATGCTTAATAAGTGCATTTTGCCTTCTGGTCTTGTCTTCTGCAGCAGCAAGATATTGACAGAGACCTGTGTGGAAACTACGATCTTCTGCGCTTTACCGTCGTTCACATCTCTTATAAGTTCTTTATAAGCAAAGTCGGATAAGAGTAGTTGTAGGCCTAGATGATTCGTAGGGTGTCCTTGTTTATTACGAAATGCCTGTAGAACAGAAACGTAAGACGAAGATAAGTAGAGTAGGAGCAGCGGATACTTGACTTTTAACTTCTCTAACTACTTGTAACTCTCGCCTATCCCTATTGGCATTGGAGAAAAGCCTATTACGCTATACTGACAGTGTTGCCTCGCTCTTCTCCTTCCTACTGTATTTGATATCTATCCCAACAATAACTCGCACGCTAGCATCCGAGTCTATGATATAATCTCCTACTAGCCGTCCTAGCCTCTTTCGTTTTCGTGAATATGCGAAGTCAATGCTAACCCCCGGATATTGTGCGTCATCATGCCAGAAGAAGGCATCTAGTCTGTATTTTGATTTTGCTCTGGACGGACCGTTTTCAATTGGAAAATAACTCATTGTTAAGCTCGCATTCTAGGACATCAAATGACAGACCAGATGGACGCACACCTTACACCAATCATGCGATGGGTTATGGATAATCGACTAACAGAAGTCTCCAGAAACATGATCGCGAATACCCTATGACTCGCTAGAGGTCGCCTCGGCATTGCCATGGTTCTTCTAGAGCCTATTGCTGACAATGAGACCTATGAAGAGATGATACAGCAATGCATTACCCTTCAAGAAGTCGAATTACTCATTTGAAACGTTTCAAATGAGACATTTCTACTCCAGGATGCCACTATCGTAGACGTTCGAGGCTAGAATTTGCTGTCGCTTCAGGGCCTGGGGACGACAATGAAGATAAAGCCGAGGATGACGCAATAGAGCAAGCATTAAATGACCTAGAAGATGACGATGGTATCTCCTTTATGCCGCAACCAAGGCAGATCACGCGAGAGGAAGCTATTGCATGGGCGCAAAGGATTTTGGAATGCTTCCGACGATCAGAATTGAAGGGTGACTCCGACCACCTCCTGATCAGCCAAATCTTCTGGGAGCAGTCGCAGCATTGGAAGCTCATCGCAGTCGAACATGTTGGTAGAGTTGCGTGCACCTGGAGAAAATTTGTCTATGCGGTCCTGCAGCACAGTGCCACCGCAGAATTTGTCGAGAGGCTTGCAAGTCCAAGCGTAGACGCAGCCCTAGCGAGCGCTTCATATACGTGCAAACAAGAGCTTCAAAAGACACTGGCGGATCAAGCACGGTTTCCTGTAACAATAACCACTAGTTCATGACGACATTACTGAAAAAAATGCCAGTGTAAATACGAGAAGATAACAGAACGTGAAAACGAAGCTTGCAGGATAGAAATATTATTCAACTCGTCGTGCATGGACGATTGGCTTGCGAAACTGCATGGCGACGGCACTCCGCCGTGTCCAATTTGCCGAAAAGGCTGGCCTCAACAGGAGCTTTTATCCTCTCACGAATTCCCTGAGCTAGCAGTGTTGGATACAGCGTCTACAAAAAGTGGTTGTGTTATGGCCAAATCTGCATCACAGTTGATCTTGATGGCGAAGAGGGAGCTAGACCGTACACATGGGCGGAAGCATACATCTTCGGCGCCCATATCGAGGATAACGTCCAGCCAAGCGAAGAAGTCTTTCGCTATGCCTATGAGAACACTACTCCTGCTCCACCACTTCGTCACTTTCTTGTGGGGCTGTACGTTAAAATATCTACAGACCTGTCGCTTGAAGTTGACAAAGGCGACAAGACCAACGCCAGCCTGCTTCGAGCATTTCTGGCCGCCGTCACCAATGAAATGATTGCTTTGGCGAGAGCTGGAGCCCTAAGGGCGACTGGTACTCAGAACGAACTGAGGCAGATCTCTGCGTTGAAAACGCGGACCATGCCAGCGGATAGATCATTACCAACGGCGACGATGGCGAAGACTGACAAGACTAGCTTTCTTATAGATTTAACAGGGACTTTGGGAGCGTCGACGAGACTGACATGTCCTGCCTTCCTTATGTATTGTAATATGCCAACTTTTCCTACAGCACATATCACTTCAAGATTCCCCACAAAATCGTCGATAGCTAGATTATGTCTGTTCTAGTACATCCGAGAAATATAACACAATCTATCACACCGTGCTATGCTACATCATTGAATCATGTTCACTTCGCATATGTTTTAGACAAAGCTGTATGTCTCCAGTCACGGCTGAGAGCATGCCGGAATTCTTAGAGTATGTTTAAGATGTATAGAATATAATACGGATTACGCGAAAAGCTTCTGAAATAGCAACACGGCCGTATAGATCCGCCTATGGTGTCATTCCAATGCTGGTTCCTAATACAAATTTGTATGCTAGCTCCTCGCCGTAGCTCGAGAGCATTCTCTGTCTCTCGTTCAGACTGCCAAGATATTCGCAGTGCGGAGGAGCACACAATCCACGAAGAACTGTTGTGCATAAGTCGCCCTTCTTCCGCCAGCTCATGCAGCCGAATGGTAGGCTGAATAGCGACAAGAAAGACAACGACTGCCCTATATGCTATGAATCGCTTGATAATAGCACTCAGGACTTTACATATTGCGCTGGTGAGTGTGGTACGCCATTCCATCGCGAATGCATGAAGATGTGGCTGAGGGACAAGGCCCTGGCACAGAAGGCATGCCCCACGTGCCGAAATTCATGGGCAACGAAGAGAATGTTATTAAAGAGTACAGGTTCCCTCAATGGAGAAGACGAGCCTTCAACGTATACCAGGGGTGGCTGTACCAGCGACAGATCTGTTTCTAGCATGAAAAGGAGCCTTTGATTTCATACGGCATTTGGAAGCAACTTGTCTTCCTCCTCGGCCCTTGGACGAGTACAACAAGCAGTAGCCCATCCTGTAGGCTGAAGCTAGACGCAGTGTCACTAGGCTTTGGTTACGACACGAAGACCTGGTGTATAGCTTCAGGCTATCAGAAGGCCTAATCCAATTGCGTTTCCGTCTTAGCTAATAGCTTGCAGCATGAGAACTTACAGTAGGCACAGTACTAATCGTTGTCTTATCGAACCCTAACATGATGACTTTCGGCATCCACGGCCTCCGTTCTAAAGGCCAAGGCTATCTTACCATGCCATTTCGCTGGAAATACGGTCAAAAACTACTTCTAGTCAAACATGCGGAATTGACGCTGGCTCAGCAAGCCCGTCGCAGTAAGCCCGAGTTTCGCAATCTTGACCCAAATTAGCCTAGCATTTTCCTGTTCCGCGGATGCACCAGTCGACGAACATCACTCCACCGCCCGAATCCATCAGTCTAAGGAAGCTCAATATGCAGGGAACAAGCTACATTGCAGCGTGAGCCTCGCACGATGCAGAAGAATTTGTTGTTGCCGGCTTGCCCCGCTGGTTAGGCAACCGTTGTTGTTGGGGAACAGCGTGTCGCAACGCGCTCCGGAAGCAGCCGCTTGATAAGGGTGCAGTATAAGTAGATGATGACTGCAGCCGGAATCGGAAATGTTTAAACTGCGCTTCCTCTTGTTCTTGTTGAGTTGCTGGACTGATATCCAGCATGGCGGCCTTGGACAGCATTCCAGAGGATAAGGCTACCTCGTCGAAATCGACTCATATTCAATATCAAGAAGTAACTTTTCGGAACTGGTATAAGAAGATAAATTGGCTCAACACGACGCTGGTGGTGCTCATACCCGCTCTTGGACTCTACCTAACACGCACCACGCCACTTACACGACCTACGCTCATCTGGTCCGTCCTGTACTACTTCTGCACAGCTTTCGGCATCACAGGCGGATATCATCGACTATGGAGTCATCGCTGCTACTCCGCTCGTCTACCGCTACGCTTATTCCTAGCCTTCACAGGCGCCGGAGCCATCCAAGGTAGTGCTCGATGGTGGAGCGCAAATCACCGCGCCCACCACCGATGGACCGACACAATGAAGGACCCCTACTCCGTTATGCGCGGCCTATTATTCTCGCACATCGGATGGATGGTATTGAACAGCGACCCCAAAGTCAAAGGCCGAACAGACGTCAGTGATCTCGACAGCGACCCCGTCGTAGTCTGGCAGCACAAGCACTACGGCAAGTGCCTGCTGTTCGCCGCGTGGATATTCCCCATGATCGTAGCCGGCCTCGGATGGGGAGATTGGTGGGGAGGCCTTGTCTACGCCGGCATCATTCGAGCGTGTTTCGTCCAGCAGGCGACATTTTGCGTGAACTCTCTCGCGCATTGGATCGGCGAGCAGCCGTTCGACGACAGACGCACGCCTCGAGACCACGTTTTGACAGCGTTGGTAACGATGGGAGAAGGATATCATAACTTCCACCACGAATTCCCAAGCGATTATCGCAACGCGATCATCTGGTACCAATACGACCCTACCAAATGGCTCATTTACCTCTTCTCCCTCGGCCCCTTCCCCCTCGCATACTCGCTCAAAACCTTCCGGTCCAATGAGATTGAAAAAGGGCGGTTGCAACAACAACAAAAAGCCCTGGACAAGAAGCGCTCAGGACTTGATTGGGGCCTACCCCTCTTCCAACTCCCTGTCATATCGTGGGACGACTTCCAAGCGCGTTGCAAAGAGTCCGGCGAGATGCTGGTTGCTGTCGCAGGTGTGATTCACGACGTCAGCCAGTTTATTGAAGATCACCCTGGAGGCAGGAGTTTGATTCGGAGTGCGGTGGGCAAAGATGGGACAGGGATGTTTAATGGAGGCGTATATGAGCACAGTAATGCGGCGCATAATCTGTTGTCGACAATGAGGGTGGGAGTGCTTAGAGGTGGGCAGGAGGTGGAGGTGTGGAAGAAGCAGAGAGTGGATGTTTTAGGGAAGAGCGACATTTTGAGACAGGTTACGCGGGTGGAGAGGTTGGTTGAGGGGGCTGTGGCTGCGTAGCGGAGGGGAGAGGTAAGCGTGGAAGATATGTGATGACGCTTTAGACTTTGTTTTCATAGCGATTTGTGCTGGAGAGCTTTGGGCGGCACCGTAACGAAGCGTAATGAATCGGTAGCATGTGTCGTGATCACTCAGGCTGAACACGTCACCATCATTTGACGCTTCTTCACACGAAGAAGATAGAGGTGTTGATGTCGGGAAGAGAATAAATGAGAGAAGCTGGACCCATAGTCAGGGCCCTAAATTCTGTCAAAAGCCATATGAGACTGATGTGATTGCCAAACGCCACTCGCTATGCATTATCTCGCCCACAGAAATACGTCTCTTCAAACCACGAAGCTCTCCTCGTCCTTCCTCGGACCTAGACCATGGCTAACACCGTCTTTAAGCAAGTCCCACGTAACGCCATCGACTCTCCTTCCGCGCGTATCATGGTCATTTGCAACATCAGCCAACCTGCCCATGGCAACCCTCCGCATCAGCACTGTATCCTGCGCACCCTGGAAATTCCGGCCCTTGCCCTCGGTTAAGAACTTCTCAACAAAAGCCTCCTCGTCTTCATTGAACGGCAAGCTGACAAACTCCACCGCCTTGTCTGAGCGCGGGTATGAGTCCTTCTCGCCAACGCCTGACCAGTTGCTGCGCTCCAGCGTCTGTTCCATCAATATCTCAAGCAGTGGCTTGTGCTCGTACTCTGGTCGATCCCGGATCCAGTGGTATGTCTCGGTGACGTTGCGCAATGAGAGGTATTTCGCGAACTCGTTGCGGACTTTCTGGTCCTCTAGCGGCGGCTTGACGCAGTTGTAGTATGCTAGCGGCAGGATGTCGTCTTCGGGGGACTTCTGCACACCCACACTGCCTAGCTTTTCGCGGCCCTTGAGGAGTGTGAGCATAATCTCATCGGGGAACGTCGGTATGATGCTCGGGTGTGTGAGGTGTCCGACCGCAGTCCTAAATTCCAGATGATCGAGAGCCCATAGTCCTTCAATGAATGTCCAGAAGCGTGTTTCAAGGTGCACACCGCGCGCAAAGCTTGTCGCAAGCTCAGTCGGCCCATGGTGTTGCGGCGATAGATCTTTGAGGAGGTAGAAGATCAAGCAATGCTTGTTGTGTAGAGAGGTCTCGGCGTTGATGATGCGCTCGTGCAGGTCACGAAGCTGCTGGGTGTTTTTGGGTGGGTAGAGCTTTCTTCCTGTCGGTATCTGTCAGTATATTTCCACTGCCATGATATCCAATTGAGATACCCTGAACCTTGAGCAAAACCAGCAACCGTTCAAAGAACGTCTTTCCACCGAGGGCATGTTGGAACTCTTGTATCGCCTGCACAACACCATCGGAATACGTGACACCGTCAGGAAAGGCGCTCTCAAAGTCTTCTATGTCGAGCATTGCGACTGCAGCTGTTGTAGTTTCGGGAGAATCGAGGTGGGGTCGTGATCGCGTAAAGAAGCTGGGGTTGACGTGTTTTGGGTGCACGTTCCGCGCTGTCATGTGAATGTACTAGCGTGAAAGGCTTGGCAGGCCATTGACGCGCGCAACATATCGAGGATCGAAGTGAATAAGTAAAGTTGATACAGAAACTTTATCATATCAGCTGAGCATGCATTAGATGCAAAGTGTGTAGTATACAATCGTGCAAGATTGAACTATGTGTAAGTTATTGTACATGCGAAGGCTTTTAGAGCACGCGCTGGTATCTACCAAATTTTGCCCGTCGTAAACAAACGTCCGTCCCAATGCCCGTCAAAACGCCTTGCGATGCAATGCAAAAGAGAGGGGTCGTCATCTGCAACGCCCTATGCAAAATGTACAAAGAATTTACAAAGAACTGCCCAAGGGAGATTATGCTCGCTCTCTTTCTCTTCGCTCATTCATGTCGGTTGCCATCTTCTTGCCAAGCTCATAACAGCTTATCATGATTGCACACGCCGGCGCGATTTTGAGACATCTTGCTCCCCAGCCTCTGAAGAGACCCGAAACTCCTTGCTCACGGTAGATGTGGGCCAGGAATCGGGGCATTGTTTGTTCTTCGGGTGCCAGTGCTTTTGTGGCGTCTTTGGCGGCTTCTCCAGCATGTCGGTAGACTTGCTGCCGTGTCTTTCCAACATCAAAAGGTGTGGTTACAAAGGCGGCGACAGCCCCAGAGGCAGCCCCAGCAACGAAACTATCGACGATTGTGTCTTTGCGGTTCTCTCGACTTCTTGAACGACTACGTCTTTGCACTCTTTCGTCGCCACGGCCTATCCGGAACTCGTATCCGTCATTCCTTGCTTCTGTTCTTCCTCGAATGTCGATGAGTTGGTTCCGCGTTGCTTCATAGCCCCACCAATATATCGCAGAGAAGGGCACATCTCGCCAAAGCGTCAATGTGAGACCCCTCCATAGACTGAAGACGCCCTCTGTTCCAACCATAGTCCGGAGCCCATCCATTGTCTCGCGGAAGTGGCCAGCAGCAGTGGCGGTGTGGTTGGCCGCTTGCATTCTTGTTCGGAACATTTCGATCGGACTGACAACGATTGCAGCCATCACTCGTGCTGTCGCGCCGGCCACGAGGGGGGTGTATGCATCTGGTATGGTTTCCCTGAATGGCGATCTTTGGGCCGTTCGCAGCCAGTCATATCCAGCGAAGTAGATGACATTGGCAGGCACAGCCATGACCAATGTTGGGGAGAGCCCTCTCCACAGTGTCCGGGGCCCCTCATTCTGTGCAATCTTCCGTAGTCCATCCCATGTGCTGTTGATGGTTCTTTCGCTCCACCTCTTCTACTGCGCATCCAATGTCTGCGGGGTTGATTGGTGACATGGTCGGGCCGGTCACACAGAAGGGGTGCTTTGTTGTTCATCCCAGAAGACTTTCTCTGCAACAGGCCGATATGCCCATGTTCGGTGGCAGGTCGCGGAATTGTGTGAGTGTTGCGCCATTGAAGACGCGCGGTTGTGACGATGAGGAAGTGGGAACGGTTTCTTGTGATTGTAGGCGAACGCGAACGACATCGAGCGGTGTCACTGTCGGAGTCAGTATGTCCATGCGTGGTTCCGGTACTCAAATGACCAGATTGAACATGCGTTCGGAAAACACTACCGAACACTACCGAACACCACCGAAAAATTGATATACATACCTAATAATGAAGTCAAGATACTGCCTGACACGGCAGACAACATCTTTTGCCCGAGCGACACTTCACCCAGGCCCGCGCTCTGGTCCGCATCCTCGGCTCTTTGCGTGGCGGTCGCCATTTCGCCCTTCTGTAGGAAAGTGGCTGTATCACACTCAAATCGGGACGAGGTGTGCTGTGTATACCCAAAGAACGCGAAAAGGGCGGTGTTGGCATCGTCCTGAAACCTTTAGAGTGGTGACGAAGGCGACGGGCAATGAGGTAAGGGCGGTCTAGCTCTAGAACTACAAATCTTTAGCGGCATCGGTGCGCGTGGCCACTCCCATTGGCTGCGATTGCGACGGCTTCTTATCAGACGCGGAAGCGAAGCGACGGAACCGTGGGTGGCGGACGTCATGGCGGTGACTCCAACATCGCATGCACAATTGACCGCGCTGCGGCAGCGAAGACCGGAATTCACATAAAACTCACACACAGCTGTAGACATGTATCCCTATTAGACACCTGGTGGCGAACCCCATACTCAATCTCTTCTGCTTGACGCGCTGCGAAGCCGGACCTTCCACTAAACGCTGAACCGCTTATATCCGCTCTTCTCGGACATCGATCGCAACATGGACCCAAAAGATCAACCAACGAATACCGAAGCTGAGCTTGAATCCTTCCGCCAGAAATGGAGAGAAGAAGTGACTGCCCGGACTAAGGGCAAGGCGCCTGTATCTTCTGCAACACCTGCAAATACTGGCGCGTCATCAAGCAAACCTCGGCCATCTAGGAGCAATGCGCCGGACGTATCAACTTCAACCCACACACGGCAAAAGAGTGTGGAAGAGGTCGACGATGTAGCGCCTCATGTGTATCAAGACCTAGGCGAGAAGCAGCATGGACGGAGGCTGGATGAAACCGCCACCGAGACCGCCGCTGCACTTGCTGCGAGTCGAGAACCAGTATCTGCTCTGGAGCACTATGAAAAGGCTGTAGAGAAGGAGAGTGAAGGTAGACTAGGAGACAGTCTGAGTCTGTACCGAAGAGCTTTCAAGGTAAGTATATGGACACTCAGTCAGAGGATCATTGGTATTGACACATGTTAGCTTGACGACTCTGTCGACAAGATCTACAAAGCTAAGCACTTTCCACCATCATACTTTGAGGCTAGGAAGAAGAAGACGTCAAAGCTGGCAGCTTCAGCATCCACATCATCCACTGCATCCGCATCAATACCGAAGCCAGAGGACCCTAATCCCTCAAACGCCTCGGAGACAGTGCCCAATACCGCCCACCACTCCCTACATGGTCTCTCCGCCCCTTTGCAAGATCTCATCAGCGACTTCTCCAGTCTCTCCATCCAAGGCGAACCACCGCCAACCGACCTCAGTCCCGCACCACCATGTCCCATCGCCAGCGTCCCCGAGGAAATCATCGTGGAGATTCTTGAACAAGTAGCCATCCGCGACGTCGCCTCCTTCGTTCGTCTAGCTCAAGTCTGCAAGCGCCTCGCCTACCTCGTCGCGACCGAAGACCGCGTGTGGAAGCGTCTCGCTCTCGGCCACGAATATGGTTTCGCTGCTATGCACTATACGTGGACATGTCAAGTCGACGGCAAACCCCTCGGCGACGACGGCGAAGGCGGCATCTACCTAGGCACCAATTCCGACAATGAATCCGACGAACCCACCTTTACCCCCGCGGCCACCACATCCCTCCTCGTGCCCTCCCCCTACCCAACCTTCCGCACCCTCTTCCAACGTCGCCCCCGCATCCGCTTCAACGGCTGCTACATCAGCACGGTGAACTACACGCGAGCCGGCCAAGCGTCTCCGACAAACATAACCTGGAACTCCCCCATCCACATCGTGACTTACTACCGCTACATCCGCTTCCTGCGCGATGGCACATGCATCTCACTGCTCACCACCTCTGAACCCGCAGACGTCGTGCCCTACCTGTACACCGAACACATGCACAAGCACCACGGCTCACTCCCCTCCGCACCAATGAAAGACGCACTGCTCGGTCGCTGGCGCATAACCGGCCCCGAACCCAGCGAAACCGAAGGCACGCTGATAGTGGAGACGGCTGGCGTCACGCCCAAGTACATGTATAAAATGGTCCTTGGGCTGGGCACGGCTGGCAAGGGCGCGAAGAATAACAAACTCACGTGGCAGGGGTATTGGAGCTATAATCGTCTGACGGATGATTGGGGGGAGTTTGGACTGAAGAATGATCGCGCGTTTTACTGGTCGAGGGTGAGGAGTTATGGGATGAGTTGGGAGGAGAGCGGGATGAATTTGGGTGGGGGTGAGGACAAGAAGAAGAGGAGGCATGTGTAAGCTGGGATGCCGTTGGAATGCATTATTGTAGATATTTAGAGGCATGGCAAGTTAAACATGAAGTCACGGCTAGGATCAATTGAATGTGACACTTGTTGATCTTATTCTTTTTTGCATTATCGTAGACATCTCAGCGCGGCGTTGGCGTCTATGTCTTGGTCGTGATCTTCATCGTTGCTTCCCATCGACTTTCTATCGCCTGGGCATTCCCCTTCCGCGTCCGCGCATACCCAGAGCCCTCTGTGCGGCGCCCTGTGGCAGCGGCCTGTTGGGTGCTTGTGGTGCCTGTGACTCTTGGTTTTCTGTAAAGTTGTTAGCGATTCGCACTCGATCAATCAGGATGATGAAGTGGCTTACTGATGGTCTCGTCAACGCTCAAGATCAGACAAGCCGCCTCTGTCGCTGCCTGCAGAGCGTTGACCTTGACCAGACTCGGCTCCCACACAAACTTCTCCATGTTGTTCGCGATGCTCTCAGTGGAGAAGTCGACACCAGCCCAGATGTTTCCCTTCTTGTGTTCCACCCTCAGACGGTTGAGAATGTCCGTAGCATCAACACCGGCGTTGTCGCATAGTTGCCTTGGAATGACCTCCAATGCCTTCGCGAACGCCTTGATGATCGGCTGTTGCTTGTGGGGGATGTTGGCGTCGGCGTAGTTGTGTAGGTATGATGAGATCTCCATCTCGACTGCACCGCCTCCGGCGACAATGTTTCGGTTCTTAATCGCACGCTTGACGATCATGATGGCGTCGTGTAAGCTGCGCTCGACCTCTGCAATAAACTGCTCTGCGCCACCACGGAGAACCAATGTGCAAGTCCTGGCTTCGGGGCAGCCCTCGAAGAAGTTGAAGCGCTCGCCACCTATTTGCCTCTCATCGAAAGACTCGCAGGTTCCAAGGTGCTTCTCCTGTATGTCAGTGCAGGTCGACTGGAGGCTGGCGCCAGTTGCTCTGCAGACACGATCGAGGTCGTCCGCTGCTACTCGTCCGGCACAGAAAACGTCGCGGTCTGCAAAGAATTGTGTTGCCAAGTCGCCAATCGGGAGCTTGCTCAGCACGATCTTTGCGCCAGTCTTGTATAGTGCCTCCATCTTGTTGTAGATGATCTGCCACTCCGCGTCTACAATCGCTTGGTATTCGGATACTTGTTCGACTCGGACTTCGGCGTTGTCCTTTTCACTCTTGAGCTCGAGCTCGACGTTGAGACATACGATCTTAGGGTTCTTGAACGACTTGGGTTGCTGCTCGAAACCGGCGTAGGAGAAGGTCTTCTTGAAGGCGACACCGTTGACGAAAAGTGAGTCCTGCAGCGCCCCACCAGTGATCTTCTTTACGCCAATGAGTCTCTCGTTCAGCTCGTCCTGGTCCAGTGACAGCACTGCGTCGACGACCATCTTGGTGAAGAACTTGGAGTTTCGGTGAATCAGCTTGCTGCTCATGGCTGTCGCAGCGAGCTTCTGAAGTGTGTCCCTCTGGTTGCCCTCCGCTGTGTCGACCGCAATCTCCATGATCTTGTTCACCGCAAGGTTCGACGCTCTCCGCAGACCCTTGATAATTGTCTGACTGCTGACACCCTGCTCAACGAAGTCCTTGATCTCCTTCAAGATCTCTCCAGCAAGCACGACCACGGATGTTGTGCCGTCGCCAACCTCGGCGTCCTGCGAACGGGCGATGTCGGTGAGGATGCGGGCGGCCGGGTGAACAATGTCGAGGAGCTAAGTTGGATCAGTCATTGCTTCTGCAATCCTTGAAGAATGTAGCTACCTTCATAACTGTGGCTCCATCGTTGGTGATAGTCTGCCTGCCATTCTCGTCTACCATGAGAAGGTCACCACCGTAGGGACCTAGCGTGCCCTTGATAGTCGACTGCACTGCGAGACAGGCATTTATGTTCGATATCACCTGACCGCGTCCTTGTGATTGATCGGTACCTGCCTATGTTAGTTATAGTGCATGTTGGAGAGCTTCGAGGCACCTACCCTCCCGCAGCACCACAATAGTGGGTGTTTGGCCGCCAAACGACATGGTTGCTGAACTGGAATCGACGAAACTTCAAGTGTAGTATACCGAGATCGCAAAAGAATCGAAACTGGCCCGAGAAGTCGTGTGGTGGGTATCGTGGAGCTATGCGCAGCCGTGATGTTGTCCCCCGCAGACGCGCTCACAAAAATTACTAGGCAATACACGCCAGGGCAGGAGCGCCCGGGACCACGTTTCCCCGATGCCAAGACCTGCCACATCCGCGACCTTCTGTCATCCTTCCATTCCGCTTCCATGCATTGGTGACACCCGTCGCGCCCTCGCCATAACACAAAGCAATCGACGATCTCGCATACACACCGCGGAAGCTAGTATTGCCTAATCATTTGGCGCTGTACCCTTCGGTGGTACTCATATAACAGCGAAATAAGCGCTCGTGACCTCTGCCCGCACGCTTACATGTCTGTGTAGCGGGGCCGGAACGCATACATTGTCTTAGAGTGCCTCGTACATCTTGCTGGTGCCCAGATCATCTTCCGAACGCCTTGTTATTCTTGGAACCATGCCGGTGAAGACTTTCGCCAAGAAGGTCAGTGACCGAAATGATACATCCCAACTTCGTGAGATGAATGCTTAATGTCAGATCAGATGACACCCACTGCCAGAGGATACACCGATGAGATACACCTGCAGCGAAGAGAGAGGCCGTCAAGAGACTCGGTTTCGAAGCAAATATCGATACCGGAGACCCTCTCAGCCTTGGACAGCTATCCGCCATTATTGCGCATACCGTCCGAGATACGACGAGAGATCTTCCGATATGTCTTACCGTCGTCCAACAAACGATTTTTGCTCTACACAGACTGCGATACGAACGTTATCAGCAAGAAGTGGAATCGCAAATGCCGGCCACACCCCGACAGAGACTTGACGCTCGACATCCTGCGTGTCAACCGCCTCATCTATCACGAATGTCTTTCCATCATATTCTCTGAGAACCAGTTTCATTTCTATGCTTTCAATTATTTACCTGTACTGGACTTCATAAGGCACCTTAGTCCTGAGGCGAAGAATCTGGTGCGCAAAGTTCGGTTCACACCATTAACGGACAAGCAAGACGATCCGCCAGCAACGCACGATCGATTTTTCACTGTTATACATGATTCTCTGCCCGGCCTGAGCGAGTTACAGGCCGATCCTGTGGTCTTCTTCTAGCGCTTTGAGCGATGCTCCTCTTGTAGATTTCTTTATCGTCGGTACGTTATGAGCCTGTCCGAATCTTGTTCTCATTTGCAAACATAGACTTTCAATTCGTATATACCACAATCTCAACTTCAGAAGGCTCTTTGGCCAGTTCGAATACGAATTACCAACGATCATGCCAGTCTACGTCTCTCAATATTGGCAACCCCGTACTAAGTTGAAGAGACTTACGAAAGCATCCCTGACTTTTCTCCAATGAGCACATACAAACCTGAGCAGTGCTCCGACACCACGACATCTTCCTTGAAAGACAGAAAGTTTGCCGTGGGCTAGGACTGGACTCGGGCCGAAACTACGAATGACGGCGAAGGAGAGTTCATGACATGCGAGCTAGCCGACCAAAGGTCCGTGTTAACACCGCCGTGGAAGAGGAAACATCGTGATGAGCATCGTATTAGATTATGCATTACTAACACTATAGCTATGGTATAGTATGCTTATGCTCTTCCTTGAGCATCTCTGCTAACTCACTGTACAACAATTTCACTTTCCTGCCTGACATCACGGCTACTAGCTCCCAGCCAGACCGGATATGTGCCCTTCTGAAGCTCCCAGTTCTGGGAAACGACATTCCAGATACTCAAGTCGCGCCTGTGCAGCAAGAATTCTACTTCCACGCTCTCACCAGGCTGCAAGAGGCCAACACGCTCGAAGCCTCTCAGCTGCTTCTTGGGCGAATTGGGTACACCGAGGTACAACTGTGCTACCTCGTGTCCAGCAACCTTCCCAGTATTGGTGATGTTTACAGTCGCACGGTACACGGTTTCCCACAGCTCAGGATGGCCTCCTTGGACAATCGGCACTGACGGTGACGGGTAAGCCGAGAGACTGCCGTTCGACACAGGTTCGACTATCAAGTCGGCATAGCTGAATGTGGTGTACGAAAGGCCGTATCCGAACTCGTACTGTGGTGTAATGTTCTGCGCGTCGAAATGGCGGTAGTCGATGTAAAGCCCTTCAGTGAAGTTGGACTGCAAGAAAGCCGGAATCTCGGGCTCGAAGGTTGAGTTCAGCAAGTGGCCGTAGTCAGACTCCTTCCGTGCGACTGTGTAAGGCAAGCGACCGGAGGGATTGAGATCACCGTACAGCACGTCAGCGATTGCGTGTCCACTTTCCTGACCAGGAACACCGGCGAAGAGAACAGCAGTGACATTGGGGTGGTCGATCCACGCGTCGACTGTGCGGACGCCAGCAGAGTGGATGACGACGATAGTATTAGAGCAGTTTGTGGCCACGTTGTTGACGAGGGTGTCGCTGAACTCATCAGTGAGCGAAGTGCGATCGAAGCTCTCGGATGCGTAGGTGTTGATGAACACCAGGCAAGCCTCAGCATTGGCATATACCGTGGGGTTGACGCCGAAGAAATCCCATCGAAGTGTGCCACGGTCAGCGATTATGCGGTCCTGGATTGCCTTGAAGGGACTAATCACGTATGGAGGCGTGCTTGAGCCTGATCCACCTGCAGTGATCAGGGTACCGTTGAGCGTGCTCCAGCCAAAATTCTCCTCGTAGCCACCACCGAAGCGGGCGTTGTTGTTCCAAGGTTGAGCCTTAACTTCTGCATCATAGCCATAGATGTTAAGGAAGCGGGGATGTTTCAGCGGCAAGGTGTTGTTGACGTTCTTCACCAGCACTGTTCCAGCAGCCCCGATCTCCCGGATGAGGGATCCATGGTCTTCGCGTACGTCAACAATCTCATGCTTGACATTGTACGGGTATACCGCGTTCTCGGGGAAGCCTTCATCCTGGTTGAGGTAGAACCATGCTGCGAGTAGTCTTGCGTTCATATCGTCCAGCCTCTCGGTTGTGACCGATCCATTCTTGACGGAGTCGGTCAGATTGCCTCCCCAGAACTTAGGAACAGGCATAACAACGTCGAGTCCTGCATTAGCTGACGCAACACCAGCGTGTTGAGCATCCCAGTCAGAAACCACGAAGCCCTCGAAGCCCATCTCTTCCTTCAAGATACCATTAAGAATTTTACTGTTCTGGCATCCGTACGAGTTATTAATCCTCTGGTACGAACACATTATAGAACCGGCTCCTGCTGATAGAGCATCTCCGAATGGCCAGGCGTAGAGCTCGTGCAATGTCCGGTCATCTACGTTGGACGATACGGCTTCGCCTTCTTCGCCAGGGCGGCGCCTGTACTCTTGTTCCTGGGCAATCCAATGCTATCAAAGTCGTCAGCTTGTGGTAAAGCGCATCTCGCAAATCTGTCTTACCTTAGGTGTAGCGATTACACCCTTCTCTTGAATGCCTTTAGTGATGGCACCGCCTCCGATACCGTTCAGGTATGGATCCGATCCAAGGCCTTCCCAATTCCGGCCACCTCTTACTATTCTTCCAATGGGTCCGATGAATGGACCCAGGGCGACGTGGATCCCCTTGCCTCTGTACTCCTTTCCAAGAGCCTGGCCATACTTGAGCATAAGCCCTCTATCGAAGGTTGCTCCAAGATGAATACCGGCAGGGAAAGCTGAGACAAACTCTTGTCCTCGCACACCAGCTGGTGCATCTGCGAAACAGAGCTCCGGGATTTGGAGGCGAGGTACAGCACCTGTTTGGCCTACACAAGGGCCAGAGACACCATGTGTGAGGTTGGACTTCTCTTCCAGTGTCAATTGAGCTACGACATCCCTAGCACGAGCATATGCTGACGCCCAAGCAGATGAAGTCGTTCCGTTGCCGACAGCTACACAACATCAGTATCAGAAGACTGGAAGGTTCTCTTAAGCTTACGGCTGGGATATACCGGAGGACTTTGCCCATATAGAGGAACCTCCGACTGGTTTGTGTATCCTTGAGAATCAACCGGGTTCGGCAGTAGAGCAACGCTCACTGCAAGCGCACTAGAGTACCTCATTTTGCCCAAGAGTTTGCTGGTACAGTTTTCCGTAACTCCCGGAATCAAGCGGAGCTAAATACTTCCAGAAATTTTGCCTGCATCTCACGATCGATCATCGTCATTCGGCAATAAATGCAGTCCCGTATAGTCCTCGTAACGAGCCCTCCACAAAAACGGCGCCGCTCTCTCCAACCGCTCTCCGCATTTCGTCTTGGCGGTGAGGGGAGAGCGGATACAAGCGTCCATAGCGGCTTGATGCAGAAAAGTGCAGACGGTGAAGCTTCGGATGACCTTTGGTGTCTGTACGAGAGTGGGTCTCGCATCCGAAGTTAGCCCAGAGGGAAGTGATTGTCGCTACAGAGCCATGTTTTATTGCGATCTTGCAGGTGACGTCAAATGCGCTAAGCGAGTTTGGTTTAGATGGGTAGAAGCGACGCAAGGTCGCGGAAGACTTCACGAGCACGCGATCTGCAGTTCCCGTCACGACTAATGATTAATCACGCACGCAAAACTTCCAGGAACCTTCGCATTGTCCAAATGGATATCAATCGGTCGGAGTCGTATCAAAAGTGCAAAAGTGCGAAAGTGCAAAAGCCCTAAGTCTTAGACGTTACGATGCTCTATTCTGAACCAGGTTTTCACAAAGCAAAGTATCCCTTGAAATTAAATTCCTACACAATATAAGAAGCTGATTTACCCTTAGACGACATGCAAACTGGAATACTTGTTACCGCCCATGATATTTCCTAATGCATAGATGCTAGGATAATATTAAGCAGTCTTTAATTAAGAGAGTTATCTTATGATTCTTTATCTATACCTAGCCTTAGTATAACGTTAGTATAGAAAAATCTAAGCTCTTCTATGCCAAAAAAAAATGTCTATATCTTATTTCTAGTTAAATAATATACTCTAGTTAACTAAAACTAAAGCGATGTTTAAAGTAAGAAAATACTTAGTAAGGCTAGATCGTTTTGTACCATTGTATTCCGCTTTGCTAAACATATGTTTCTTCTAACTTCAGACACTCCCCGCAAGCTATTGCTGATAAGGGAATACGCTGAGATGCGAAAGAGTTGAGAACTCATGCTAATGAGTTGATATTACTGCACGAACTTCCTGCAAGAGCTTTGCACGAGGGCGCTCATTTGTCTTAATAACGCCAATGGTGTAATACATATTTACATGCCGAGCCCTTATAAAAGAGAGTCTTACTCTCGAGGTAAAGGCTGTTGCTGAGGATCATCGCTGCCTTGCTGCCCTTCACTAGTCTCTGCACACATCATGTTTGGGTTATTCCAACCATAGTTTGCTAGCGCCCAGTGCGACTCTGACTCTGGAAAATCCAAAATATGTAAGAAATCCCATTGTGGTAGATATTCTCCAAATTCGCAAGGCAGAGGTGGGCTTCTTTCTGTGTCTGAAATTGCTGTGGCTTTGTTCCCGGTAATTGACTGTGATCTTTCAACAAGGGCAGCGAAGTTCGCGTAAGGTTCGCTCGGTTGTTTGGAAGTACTGCTGGTCGGGCTCATGTTGTAGCTGTGTTGTATATAGCTGTCTATGTTATGCTCTTTTGGTAGAGAAATGCCGTCGCCATAGGCCGTCGTAGGGAAAATATACTGTGGATCGATTGTGTTTACATGATCTGTGCTTGAAACGGGACAGTGCAGATGTTGTTCCTGATGTGCACCTGCGGGCGATCTAGTAGTAGATGATGCTACAATGGAAGACGCGGAGCTTGGAGACATGGGCGAATCGGATAGCTGCCTAGCCTGCTTTGTTGGAGCTTCACTGTCACTATTGCTACTGCCGGTGCGAGAAGATATTGGAGGCGTGAAAACGACCTCATCATCTGACGATGGCGATTCGCTTCTCAGTCTTTGGCGACAGTTTGTGATGATAGCAGGTATACAACTCTTTATTCTTGTCATGATCGGTTCGATCACGGCCGCTAGCTCACGAGTCAGTTCTTCCTCGAGAGCCTCACACAAAGCACGCTCGAGCTGCGGACTCATGCCTTGATCCTCATCTGGTTTTGTCAGCGACATGAAGACGGGACATGTAGGTAAGAATGACTTACATGGTGACGGTGTGTTGCTATCTTCCGGGAAAAGTACCTTGAACAAAATGCTCCATTTTTCCTCGACATTCCTAGCATTGGAGTAAGGGACTTTCTTGAAGTCAAGTCTCTTTAATAGCTGCGGACGTATGCGATCATCCTGCGGCTCAGGACGCCTGTCGCAGATGTTCTCTTGTTGTAAATGATCTGAGTATGCCTCCTCACACTCCATCTCCATCCAGCACCTTGAGCAGCGCAGTGGTTGAGTGTGCACGCGCTTGATGTGGTCCTTCAACTTGGCCATGTCCACAAAACCTGATCCTCGACATGCTGCTTTATTGTATCTATCAGGTTGCCGCTGGTAGAAAGGACACTTCAGTCGACGGTGCGGAAGGCGGTCAGGTAAAACCCCACCTGCCTTCTTCTTTGGTCGATCTTCATCATCTGAATTGTCGCCATTGCCATCTCCTGGGTCACGTCCACCCTCTCGCGATCTTTTGCTTCTTTGATGTGTTTGAGAATTTACACTCGATGAAGCAAGAATTGAAGATGCAGAGCTACCCACACTTCCAGGAGTCGATGTGCTCGATGCAGGGAGACCATCTGCAGCTTCTGGTAGCGCATGGTCTAAGAGCTCTCGGAGGAGGAGATTCCTGACGACGTTCATTGCAGAGTGGAGTGCATCTTGTACATGGACTTCGCATTCGTCGGAAGCCTCGTCACTTTCATTGACGCTCTCTGCAGAACTGAGCTCAACGCTCTCATCCGTGCTGAGTCTGCTGTCTTCAGAGGCTGATGAGATGAAAACTGAGCCAGGGCGGTCGAGAGCAGAGTCGTGCGGCGTGCTGCTCGATGGAGCTTTAGGCAGTAAAACGAGTTCATGCTCTGGGTTTTTTGACATTTGCTGGATATCTTGGTGGTGAGTTGTGATTGATTTTTGGTTAAAAATGGGCCCTTTGCGATCTTTTGGATCGGAATTTGATTCTGTCGTACGAGCACTTGTGCGTGAAGGAGATGTCTGACTATAAGCTTCAGCATGCCGGGAGCCTGACTTTCCAGTCATGGTGATTGTTTGAGGGGTGGAAACAGGTAGAATGGGGGTTACCTGATGGTACTTCGTCGCAGGGCAGGGACGTTCTTGGTCGAGATTCTGTTTCGTTGCCGTAGACGATACTTCGCAGTCGCTCTGCGGAGATGACATACCCTCTGCCGGAAGGCTAGCTTTCTCTTGGAGAAGTGTTGTTCTTTCTTCATCCTCGGAAGCTCCGGTTGCTCTGCTGTCGCCCTGCCTAAAACCCATCTCTACAGCCAGATGTCGCCGCTGCCCATCTTGCTGAGCTGGAGTCATGGTCATGGATCCTCTGCGAGAGCTCTTTACACAGGCATTCTCCCTCCCTTTTCCGGCACCTTTTTTTGAACCTTGGAATATTACAACCCTCCCTTTCTTCACATTGCCCATACTCTTGATCTTTCGTTTCTTGGCCTCGTTCTTGTGCGTCGCATTTTCTCCAACGGTTGAAGCATTGACTCCCGTTATATTGCGGGATCTCCTCGAAAATGGCCGATCGACCAGGCTCGTGGCTTTGCTTACATCATTCTTAGGAAGGCGTCCTCGATTCTCTGTCGGAACAGCTGGCATTGGCGGAGGCTCCAGAGCCCTTGGTCCACGCCGTGTTCCATGAAACGGTTCGGACTGTGGCGATGGATCCGGTGTTGGTAACGTCGTTGGGCCCAGGCCGGGGCGAGCATAACGACTTGAATAATTCATGTGATAATGCTGTTCAGTTAGAGCGAAAGGATTACGTGGTTGCATATACAAAGGGTAAGCTTGAGCCCCTCGTTGGGCGATTCTTCTGCTTCCCGCTTCGGAACTTCTCTCGTGCTCTGCTTCTTGCCATTGCCGTCGTGCATCCATGATCCTCTGGGGGGTGCGAAGGTCGTGTTGGTCATCTGCAGTCCGCGTAACTGATGTAGGACCGCTTCGCGCACCGCGCTGTGACTGTATAGAGATCGGCTGATGAGATTCATGCTGCAGATATAACGGATGCACATGTGATGGTGAAGGTAAAGCCGCTGCGAAGGGTTTCAATGGCGTGGGACTATTACAAACAGCAGGTCGCGAAGTCGAATTCGAACGACGACTTCTGGAAGAGATACTGGAGCTCGATTCGCGACTACTGGAGGGTCGCTGTCGGCGCTGTGCTGTATCTGTCCCAGGACTACATGTTGTGCATGCCGGATTCGAACAGTTTCCATCCATCTTATTTCTGTGTTCCTCATCTTCTGTACGCGTCGCAGAAATATACCGTTCATGCGTCCGATTATAATCAGGGTACTCTTGCCTCCTTGAGCGAGATTTATTCGACGAGACCACCACTCCGGCATGGTGGGTCAAATATTCCTTTTGAATACCTGCCCGTCTCTGATTTTCACCAATGTTGAAAATGGGATCAAGTTGTGGCCGTGCAGGTACATACTCGATGACCGGGTCCATGGGAAACTCGTCTGCAACGGATGGCGGGGCTTTGCCTAATGATGCTAAGAACGCACTGTTGTGTGAACTCACCGTCCAGCTTGAGTAGCCGGAATCGGACCGGCCATCCAAGACGGTTGATTCATTTTGCTTAGCCGTTGGATCCATGTGGCTATGAGTGATGTGACCACCACCAATGACAAGATCAGTCATGCCATTCTCGGCAGGCACAAGCTGCAGGGTGCGGCCTTCCATGTCACTAGATAGTGATATGTTCACGGGCGCTTTGCCATCGAGACGGAGACGGAACTCGTTTTCAATTGTGCTAGTCTGCTTGGGAAGGTTCTCATCTTCGCTGCTTGAAGAGGCGCCAGAGTCGGAGTACTCGGAAACACGAGATAGTCTCTCCAGAGTAGCTTGGTTGATTTGATCAGCGAAAGTTTCGCGGCTGCTGCGAGTGGAGTTGATGTATTCCTCCACAATGTTCGCTCTCGGGGGCTTTGCTGGCGATCGTTTGGTAGCCACGTTAGTCGTGTTCTTGCGATTGACGAGTGATGAAAGAACCACAGAATCGTCACTGTCGGCAGAGTCGTAGTCCTCGACTCTGACCTGCAAAGGTATGATTTGCGGTGACTGAGACATTGCGCACGCGCGAATGAACAATACAAAGTGTGACTTGGTGGTGTTGAGAAAGCAAGGTGAAGGATGCACGATCAAGAGCGACCCGCGGTAACCCCACTGTCTCTCCTGACCGATGAGTTCGCCCGCAAGGCTATGGCGAGAACGCAAGTCAGCGACAGCACAAGTTTGCGAATGCTGTGGCTGTACAGAAGCCCTGTATCGTGACCTTAGCCAATGATAGGATCTGGCCCCCACACCATTCGCTTGTGGCGTATGCGCTGAACAGCACAAGTGTGCGGTCGACACTTTTGAACGTGGAACCTTTGTACTATCGAAGTTGGAATGCCGAGCATTGAACGATATCAAAATGGAAAATAGCAAGAGTGTGAAATTCTAAAGAGCGACGAGATGTGCCCTCATAACGAGACTTGTATAAAGTCGCGGAATAGAATGTCAATGATAAGGTACCAAACGATCGAACTCTCAATACAGAGAGCAAGAACAAGAATCTGAAATCTTCTGTATCCGTTTTGTCAAGTCTGGAATGTTCAGCCCGAATAACACCGAACCACAGCCTCGAGATGGCGAGCGCAAACCTCAAACCAACATCGATGTACGATCACAAGACGTAAGCGAGACCATCAACTCGACATGAGCGAGACCATCAACTCATGAAGAAGAATCGGCTTATCATAACGCAGCTCTGAACCAGTCCAAGAGGTTTCATACAACATGAAAAGGTTCCTCAGTGATCGCCAGGACGAGCACTTGATACATGAGCATACGCCAAGTCCGGATTGCTCGCGCAGGGAGGTACTACAGCGAGTGATGGACAAAGTAGATAAACTCGTCGTAGATGGAAAGGAGATCAACAGCCAGCAAAAGAAGTAATGAGAGGGGATCTGCCTCCTTTCGGAGGCGTCTAGAAAATGGAATCAAATCATTCAAATCTTGACACAATATTCCACAATCGGCACATCGCCCCGAATTCTTCCCAGCACCTCGCATTGACTGACCTCTCTCGTCCTTGCCAAACCCTCGAGCTCATCCAAGCGATCCGGCGTCCTCCTTAGTGGCTCCTCAAAACCCTCATCGCTCACGATATCGCGGAACGCATTCTGCATCGGCACGCTGTCGGCGTGCACCATGCTGTTAGCGTCGCTATGGGTGATGTCGATGTGGTCGAAGGGGTGGATGAAGTCGGCGCGCGTGATTATTTGTTGGGACTCCTGGAGTGGGATTTTGGGCAGTGTGAATTGGGACAGGGAGTGGTGCGTGGGAGGGGGTTGTTTGCGGTGGATGAGGGCGCTGGTAAGGATTATGGCTGCAGCCTGTGGAACACGTTACCATTTCGTACATTTGTTATAATCACGGGACGAGATGGTAAACCAGTACACGTACGTAAAATTTCTGCTGCTCCTCAACGTCGTCATCTATAGTGTCGCCTAAGAACCAACATTAACTCAGGAACCACGACTTCTCGCTCTAGTTAATCTACTTACATGTGTTAAGCAGTATTAAGAATTAATTAAATTAATCAAGTAGCTTAATTGTTACTATGTTTGCTAACACCTCTTCTTACTAAACGTTCTTTGTTATATCAGTTTGCGAACAGTACGCATCTACTCGTACTGTGCGCGGTCTCCAATTACCAATCCCCAGTGCACTCCATACTGTTTCTCAACCGGGTGCAGGTTATCAACCCACTCCACCCACTCAGGCTACACGGAGCTTGTCAACATGTATTATTCCTCACTAGGCTTCTCCTTCCACAAGATTTCCTTACTACGGGCATGACAACGTACGCAAATCCCGAATTCACGATAATAGCACCGTCTTCACCATCAGAGCGACGTATGACAATTTGCCGGATTTTCGCACCAAGGTCGTGGAGCAGTTGAACCAAGCGGAATCCCGAAAGACCCGCAGTAACGATGGCAGCATCTTCAGATGGAAGTTGGTTCGGGTTCAGAATAAGACTCAGAAGGCCCGCAAGGCATTCGACTTTGCTGCTGCTACCTACCATTATGTTATTGTCCTGAACACGCCTCCGTCTGCTGTCAATGCACCTGCCCCTTTGGCTACTGTTCGCGCTGATATTGCCTCCACAGTCAACACTGCAATGTCGTCTCCGTTGGCAATGCCTCCATCGGCAAAATCCAAACTGGCAACGCTCCTTCCACTGCTATTGGCAACACGGCAATTGTCCGACGCACCGCTCCAAGGGTCACCCGCGCGTCAGAGAAGAGAAAGGAACAATATGATCATCGGCCTAGGCGGAACAGGAAATGGGTGAGACACAGAGAGGTCGCCGATAGCTACGATAAAGACAAGAATCTCGAGTTACGAACTGAAGTACCCTCGCCCAAGCCGACCACATCACGCAATAAAGTCATTGCAATCAACCCACCGCCAGTTGCAGAGGATTCATCTACCTTTAAGGGTCCAATAGCTTACCGCTTTCGATGCCTTCCTCATGTTCTCCCATTCGTCATGGACAACGAGAACGGCGATGGTATCACTATCACCATGAACATCGAAGGAGCTGGACGAGGCATGAAGATCCGCGTCGACTCAACTAGCGTCACCGTAACTGCATCAAATCTTCTCATTTTCGGGTTCCCCACCACAACCAGTGCCTCTTCAACGAAGTGCAGTAATGCGAAGAATAACCTGAAAGCACAAGACTCGTCGCGTAATATGTCAAGAGACAATCGCGAGAAATATGAGCTGACGATATTACGTTTCACTATTCAGCTAATACACCAGGCGCCCGTCAAATTCCTGCCCGCCTTTTCCTAACAAGAAGGGGTGAACAGGTAGCCTGTATATATTCAAAGACCTCTATGGAGTTAGGCAGAGTATCTTGTATCTGTGTATACATCGAGGCTCCTCTGAAACTTATTACAAATACACTTTTAAAGACCATAAGCTCAAGTCGTATCTGCAAAGCCGGCACGAATCTTGACACTGCCTGGTGTGCATCCTATATCCCAGCTGGTCGCTTCACTCGTCTGCATGGTTACTAAGCGCTTATGAGTACGATAAACGAACTTATTGATTCTATCTGCTTTGAACTACTTTTGCTGTGATTTGATGTTGAATAAACCACGATAACTATGCATGTTGGGATGCCGCGTGTAAGAAGCCAAAAGAATGAAACGACCGCACAATGCGCCCTGAGCCTCTACTATAGGCTCTCGCCTACGACGGACAGCGACTAGTGTGCAACAGCAGGTAACCCATCTGATAGCCTGAGGATATACACAATATCTCTGAAGGGGTCTTCTGTATAGCTTCAGGCTATTGGATGTCCCTGTTCGCTTTCCACAGTTTTGCCATGGCTATCTCCTCCGAAAACCCACTCCTACCAACGCGTGCCCCGACTAGACTTTCTCTTGCATACCGTCCTGAGAAGCAGCAGATTCTGTGCTGTAATAACGACCGAAGATGCGATCTTCAATGTCCATGTTCTTGTCCACCTTACCGGTCTGGCTGCGTGCCTGGCGTCGGAAGTAAATCCTCTTGCACCATTTCCACGTCTCAGCACCAGCAAAGAACAAACCGGCTGCGACAAAGACGATGCCCCATTCCCAATCGATCGGTGCATGTTTGAACACAACCGTGTTAAGAACCGGGATATAGATGAGGGGAAACAGCGTGACAAAACCAGCGACAACCGCCCAGAAGAGGAACTGATTGCGCCAAATGTCAATGGCCCACTGAGTAAAGTAGCGCTTCGAGTTGGGCTGCATGCGGAAGAAGGACCGGCGCATATCAATCATTTCCCATGCGAGAAACAGGGCGAACCATGTCAAGCATGCAAACGTTGTGGCGCGCGCACGGAAGACTAGCTCGCAGGAGTCGCTGTAACGCTCGTTGCAGCCTTCTCCTAGCTCTCCGTCACCGAAGCCAAACACGACTAGCACGAAGCTAGCAAGACACAGTAAAGTGATCCAGAGGCCATACACGACCATATCGACGAGAAATTCCATGGTGAAGATACCAGTCTTGAGTGATTGTGGTGGGCGTTGCAAGATGTCGGGCACAGCTCGTTCGAAGCCAAGGCCCATGTCAGGAAGACCAGACGTTGCCATGATGATCCAGACTACTTGAACAGGTGCTAGAGGGAACACGGAGAGTCCAGTGCGATCTTTGAATGCGAGTCCCACAAGGAGAGTACCAGCCTGTGCGACGTTCTCAGCGAGGACGTGGAGCACGAACTTCTGGATGTTATCGAAGATACGACGACCTTCTTCGATTGCAGCTAGAATTGATGCGAAATTATCGTCGGTCAAGACGATATCTGAGGCCTCTTTGGCAACGTCTGAGCCTGCTTGTCCCATAGCGATACCGACATCAGAGCGCTTGAGAGAGGGTGAATCGTTAACACCGTCACCTGTCTATGGCTTGGTTAGTGCATGGTCCCAAGATGCTTTAAGATTTCGATAAACCACTTACCATAGCGCAGAACCGTCCACGACGGTGCAGAGCCTCAATCATGCGGACTTTCGTACTAGGCGCGCATCTTGCCACAACCAAGGGCAAAATGCGAAGCTCGTCGACTTGATCGTCCGACAGATCATCAAATTCAGTCGCAGTCATTACCAAGGACTTGGAAACGTCGCTAGCCATGCGCCTTATGCGATCGGCTGAAGGCAAGATACCAACTTCGATCGCGATGGCCTTCGCAGTTTCGGGGTGATCGCCTGTGAGCATATGAACCTCAATACCTGCCTCATGACACTGTCGTACAGCGGGAGCCGACTCAGGCCTAGGAGGATCGTAGAGACCAATCAAGCCGCGGAATACCATATCGGATTCGACGGATGCGCGATCAACCTCGCCACCCTTCTCAGCCTTTCCATGATACTCCTTGCTGGCTAGAGCCAAAACACGAAGACCGAGACTGGCCAGTGTCTCCATATTACGCAAGATCTCGTCACGGAAAGGCGTAATATCGCTAGCTTCAGATGCATCTTTGGGAAAATAGGTGGTGCAGCTCTGGATAACACGCTCGACGGCACCTTTGGTGAAAGCATACTGCTTGCCACTGGAATGACCCATGATGACTGACATACGCTTGACATCGGAGTCGAATGGAAGCTCGACTAGGTCAGTCCATTGAGCGGCATCACCGGTCGTGAGGCTGTTGCGGATCATGCCAAAGCGGGCGGCAAACACCTGAATAGCGATCTCGGTCGGGTCACCGTGGGCTTCCCAAGCCCCGTCATCCTTCTTCTTAACAGCAGCGAGATTGGCCAACGACGCAACGTTCAGGAACTCCTGAACGCCTTCGTTGGTCTGGGAACTGAGCTTGTCTGAAGAAATGGCGTCACCACAAGCAGCTCCGCCAGCCTAAGTTCATAGTTAGCATAGGCTTGCCTGGAGTCCTTCGCAGCAGTATGATCCGCACTTCACCTATCGGAACAGTCTTGGGGGTATTCGGGAGTACTCAAAAGACACATACCTTGATATCCATCTTGAGAGGCGCATCGGGATAGAACCGCACACTACCAGCAGTGGGGTCCTGAGGCGCCGTAGAGTCTTCGATCGTGTACGTACCCACACCCGGCATCCACGCACCGCGAGCGATCATCTTGCCCTGGGTCAAGGTGCCAGTCTTATCGCTACATATATCCGTCACCCCGCCCAAGGCCTCGAGTGACTTCAGATTCCTCACAATTACGTGGCGTTTGACCATGCTCTTAGTGCCAGCTGCCATGGTGATTGTGAGAACAACCACTAGCGATGCAGGGATCATAGATAGACCAGTAGCCACCGCATAGATGACGACCTCTTGTCTTGAGCTGAATTTGTTGGCCGCTAGTACGATGATGGCGCATACTACAGCGATACCAAAGAGCAACATAGCAAGCTTTGACAGTTTACGTTGGAGAGGCGTGCCTACATTCAAGCCCAGAAATCGGCCAATTGCGTCGGTGAAAGTGAGTGTGTATGCCTCCAGGTACCTATGTGGCTTTGCTTTTCCGTTTTCCTTGCGTTTGACAGGTCGGACCTTGGATTTCGTTTCGCGCAACTGAGCGGCGATGGCACCGATCTCGGTAAAAGTACCTGTGGCAAATACAATACCTTTCGCCCGTCCTTTCGTCACGTTAGATGAACTATAGGCGATATTCAGGCGGTCGCCAGGCCCTGTCTTCTCGGGGAATGTGACATCTTCGGCCTTGCGTACTGGGAGGGACTCTCCGGTCAAAAGGGCCTCGTCTGTCTCGAAATTGACGGCATCGAATACTCTGATATCCGCTGGGAGGGTATCTCCAGTTTTGATCTCGATGACATCGCCAGGAACGATTTCTGCGGATGGCACTGTAACTTGTTGTCCATTTCGAATGACACGAGCGGTTGGCGAGCTCAAAGATCGCAGAGAATCCATTGTCTTCTCTGCTGAGTACTCTTGAAAATAACCAACGACTTTTCATGGACGTCAGCCGAATTCTGATAAAGATGCCTGATGACTACAACTCACCAATGTTGAGCAGAATGACGAATGTGACGACTCCGCCTTCAATCCAAGATTTGATACCGTAACTCACAGCCATTGCGAGTATCAGCACCAGTGTCATAGCATTCGCAACTTGAGCGATAAGAATCTTTACAGGCGATACTCCCTCTGCTGCCTCAAGCTCGTTGGGGCCATATTCTTCGACACGGCGTTTCGCCTCAGCATCATCCAGTCCAGACCATGTTTCGGTTCTCAGTTCGTCCACAACTTGCGCAAGCTTCAGACTATGGGCAGGTAGTGAAAGCGGCTTATTTGCTTGACCGCTGATGTGGCCCTCGAGGGGCGCGCTCCCTTTCTTCCCCATCTTGTCGGTGACGCAATGGGTCCGTTGATGATGGTTCTTGGTTGGGATATTCTTTGATTGTTGATGTCGTGGTTTGCGGAAGCGTTATATTTAGGTTCGAGGTCTTCTTCTTGATCTCGTCCTGTGGACTATATCCACGTGGACGAACTGAGTTGGATGGATGTTGGATGTATGATGCATGGGGACTTCAGCACGGGTTCTGGGACAGACTCCTCCGTGTTTACGCCGTGATTGGCGAGGTGGTGAAAAATGAGTGAGGTTTTGGTTAAGTTGGAGTTGTATCGATTGGCGTATGCTTCAGGTCAAGACTTGAAAGTCAATAGTTTGGCAGATAGACTTAAAAGTACGATATTTTGTCAAAAAGTAACTAGGATACCAAGTATGGTAATGCACCAAGGTCAACGGGGAAAGCAGCAGACTTATAGTTTTCTTCGGAGGTGGTGTTCACCGGCGTTCGCCAAGACGTTTTTTCCTTAGGTGCTTAAACCCCGTCATATGCCAAGCTTGGCAGGAAGTGGAAATGCTGGGCAAGACGAAATCTCGGATAGGACGGCACAACATATCTTGGCAGTGGAAAGATACATAGCGGGCTCGCCGGTTCTGTTGATGTGCTGCAGTGCCACTCTAATGACAGACGGGCACCCACAGCACGATTTGTGTTGAAGCAGCCGTCCTCTTGGCGAAAAGAAAATCGTATGGTAGAAATTTTGACAGCTGCATGCTGCTGTAATGACACTACCATGGTATTTCGACGACGGTTCATTCCAAGAAGTCAAGTCTTGGCTTCAAAACCGTATGCTATAAGCAATGCAATCGAGCGGTCAAACAGCGTTCCAAGATGCATTTTCTGGCATCGACTTAAACCGATGAGGATGGGCACCTTGTAGGCTCTTTTGCTATCCGAAGTGCTGACGCTGGGTAGCCAAGATGACAGGAGTGTACTATGCATGTCGGCCAAATTGATCACTCTGGATTCCGGTACGTTTCTTGATCAGAATTGTCTGCACACCGCTATTATCGAGCTACCCAGGTGCCATTACACAAGGTGAGCCACCCGCAAACAAAACCTTGGCTGACCAGCATGTCATCCGACTAAGGCGAGTTAACAGCTGGGCACGGTGGAGTCGTTCGGAGCACTAGACGTATGTGATCCTGCAGGTGTGCAAGGTCCAAAACCGAATCTTCGTGATGTGATGAACAGGTTGTCTGGGGCAACTAACAAGACTATGAAAGCAATGCTCACACAGAGACTGTCGCCATACTGTCGAGGTGAAGCGCCAAGGTGGCAAGCGGAAATTTGTGCGAGGCGGGTCTACTAGCCGTTTCCTCTCTAGACCTCGGGGCTAATTCTTCAAGAAAGACAAACCTGTCTGCCCGAGCTGGACGAAGAACATTGCGTACAGTCGCAACATAACCTTATGTGATTGCTTGTATGACTTCAACACCTCAATTTTGAATGTGATCAACATTGGACTCACTCTAGATGCATGCTTCTCCTGCAGTGCGCACTGTTGAGGGAATGTTGCTTGTCAAGGCTAGGCACGAATTGTAGTGGCTTCGCTGCTGTACGATGTACTCAGTTCTTTACTTCTTTATTTTGAAGTCGGTGCCCACGGTAATTCGTTCTAAGTATGATTAGGACCTTGGAGACCAGGTACAGAACAAAACGAAACAGGAGTGGCACTACACTTTGTGTACAATACCCCGCTGTCGTCATCTCATAGCCTCGATGATGTGATGAGGAGTTCAAGCTTCAAAACCACGAGTTCATCTTCAGTATCCCGAGTTGACGTCCCTATATTCTACCTAATAACCTTACACCTGAATAGCTACAAAAATGGTCCAAGGCCATCCCGACGCCGATTTGCACCCTCATGCAACAGGCCCAGCAGCGCATATTGTCAAGGTAGATCAATACCACAGAGACCGCACGCAATGCTAACCGAACCAGGCACATGAAGTGGAACAGCCTCTAAAACTATACTCTGGCTGGTTTTGTCCCTTTGTTCAACGAGTATGGATCGCCTTGGAGGAAAAGAAGATCGACTACCAGTACATTGAGGTCAATCCATACAACAAACCAAAGTCACTACTAGACCTCAATCCTCGAGGGCTGGTCCCAACTCTTCAATACCAGAACAAACCCTTGTTCGAATCTACTGTGCTCTGCGAGTTCCTAGAAGATGCGTATCCCGATCACACACCGCATCTGCTTCCCAAAGACCCATATGACCGAGCGAGAACACGTATCTGGACCGACTACGTCGGCAGTCGTATCATCCCAGCCTATCATCGCTTTCTGCAGCATCAAGGCGAGGAAGGCCTGAAGGATAAGCAGCAAGAATTCCTCAATCATCTCAAGGAGTTCACTAAAGAGATGGATCCTGAGGGTCCGTTCTTCATGGGCCAAGAATTTAGCCTCATCGACATCGTGATAGCACCATGGGCGAACAGATTGTGGGTGTTCGATCACTTCAAAGGCGGCTCAGGATTGCCGGAGGAGGGTAAAGGAGGGGAGGACGAGGAGGTTTGGAAGAGGTGGAGGAAGTGGTTGAGTGCAGTGGAGAACCGCAAAAGTGTGAAAGAGACGCTGAGCGAGCGTGAGCATTATTTGCCTATTTATCAACGGTATGCAGAAGACAGAGCGCAGAGCGAGGCGGCGAAGGCGATTAGGGCTGGGAGGGGAATACCGTAGTTTACTCAATCGTCCAAGCAGCGCCGCTTGCCTGAGCTGTGGAATTTAGAAGATCAATAAGACGTGCATTGATACGATCGCGTTCGTCCCTTCTGAGCTCTGTGCTCGCTTCAACCCCACGACCAAAACGAAGTTGGCGGGGTTCTTGAAAGCAACATCATAGACATGGTGCGCGAGGTGTGCGTTGTTGCTCTGAGCAAACTCATCCCCGTGTCCCATATTACCATCGACCTAATGGAGTCGGACTATCGACGGATTGCTTGGGAGATATTTTGCAGACTGCTGCTCAAGAAAGCAGCCCAACTCACCAGCGACGAGCAAGCTGCAGGCCGCCTTTACTGGGAGCTCTGCATGGAGCCTTTTCTTCCGCTAAACGATTCGACTGTTCTAGGACTGAGGTTGCAACGGGACATGGCTGGGTTACCACAGTTGCGAACCGTGTATGCCAACACGGACGAGGACGTTCTCGATCATAAGAGTGATGACTGGAAAACACTAGTAAGTTTGGGTGTCGGGGACACGATCTGGGACACGGATGAGAGGTGCTTCCATCGTCTTGACCTAAAAATAGGTGCCACCGGCAGCATTCACTACTCTACTCGAGATAATCTCGGTCAGCTTATTGTAGAAGCACTACCACCATCGGTCTCCACACTCAAGTGGCAATGCCATAGGCTTGAGTGGTTCGAAGTCAAAGCCTACCATCAGCCTGTACTTTGTCAGATTATCGAATTCAGCGCGGAACTTTCGCCTAAAGAACGGGGGAACACAATGGAGGCAGAACGATCCATGATCTATGACTTGCAACGCGTACAAGTCCTGCAGCTTTCTTCTGTTTTCACGAGCCTTGATCTCCATGCTGGCTGCCTGAACGTATACGGCATCAACCAAACGACCGAATTCCTCCCAGCCTTGCTGGATTTCAATCTGCCTTCTTCCCTCAAAATAGTCAAACTGAAAGACTATGTTCTGACTGCAAGCGGCCTTAAAACTATCCTCAAGCATATGGTCCCTCTCCGGGTTGCTCTTAACCTGGAGAATCTGGTCACGGTGCATGAAATTCGCAATCTATGCACCTCTACTGGCGCAGCTGAAGTTGCTCGTGTTGCTGCAGACTTTTGGAAGTGCCTACTCCAAGACCTATGTCTCGATTACGCGGAGTACATTTCGAGCTGACTATTCAACTTGATTGGGAGCTTTGTATCGATCGATGTCTCAGACGGGGACTGTACTGTGAAGTTCAACTCGGGATTGGCACCACAAGAAGTTCATCACGGGCTGGCAACAGATGCCGACTGGCGCACCAATAATGTCGCCATCGAGGTCTGGATCTGAGTCAATAGTGTCTCTCCCCGTGGCTGCGATCTAGAGCCATTGTTGTTGTTCAGGAGCGAGACCTTGTCGCACGTGCGACGCAGCCACATCACAAATCCCACCATCGCATTTCGACGTGATCGAGACATGCTCGCACGTGCGACGCAGCCACATTACAAATCCCACCACCGTATTTCGACATAATCTTCAGCCGTCCAGCGCTACCTCTTCATCGCTGGGCCAGTCGGCTAAGTGTGCTCTAGGCCAGGGACTATCTACACATGACACGACCCTCGAAGTATAGATGTGGCTGGCGATGATGAAGCCCATTCTTGGTGCTTAGATTTGGTGTATGCACGGCGGGACGAGATCCGCCCGATTTCCAGGAACGGCGATCAGAGCCCCGATATATCCTTAACTCGACCAATCACGTCTGTCGGCGGCCTGGTCCTTAGAGGCTTGGCCAGCTGGGGTTAGTTGTAATGACGACACCAACGGAGATACATTGGTGACATTGGTGACATTGCTTCTTAGGACAGTAGCTCAGGTACGAAATTGTAGCGCGTCGCATGTTTCTATAAGATCGGCCGGCGTCGCATTGTAAAGTAAGCAGCACATTCGAATCATTGCGGTTCACAAGCAGCTCTCACAACAGCAAAACTCCATCTATCCACATCCAACAACATGCCTACAAAGACTACGCTGAGCCTTGGTGCTCTCATTGCGCTTGCCGGCGCGCAGTCGGCGCCTGGCTTCCCAGTTTCAGCCTCGCAGCAGCTCACTGTCAAGTATGGCAACAACACCGTTTCACCACCTGGCGAATTGATCCCGCGTGGTGGTATGTATTCTGCCATGAATGCGACAGCCGAAACGATCTAACATTCTTGCAGAGACCGCTTCGCCGCCCAGTATTAGCTCACCAGTGTGGTATGCCGGCGAACGCGGCGCCAGCCCTGGGCTGCTGCTCATGGTCGACATCGACGTGCCCAGGAACGGTACTCGAGTACCTCTCCTCCACTGGATGGCCACCAACGTGACCAGCCAAGGCTCATCCGGAGCTCTCAACGTCCCCAATAGCCCGGTGCCATACCTCCAGCCATCGCCACCAGTTGGCGATGTTCCTCACGCATACACGTTCATCGTCTTCCCCCAGCCTGCCAACTTCACGGTCCCCGCGAAGTACCTGGCTCTGGCGCAGAACCAGTCGCTGCGAGTCGGATTCAATACGAGCGCATTCATTGCGGAGGTTGGGCTCAAGCAGGCTATCGCGGCAAACTACATTACTGTGCAGAACTTGACGGGCACTGCTGCGACTACTTTCCCGCCTGCTAGGCCCACGCAGAGTCCTTCCGCGACTCCAAGCAAGCCTGCCCAGTTCACCGGAACTGCGCCGTTATCGATGGTTGGTGGTGCCACAATGTGGGCTGGACTTGCGGCTGCGATGCTCGCCGGTGTTGCCGCAGTTGCTTTGTAGAGTAGAGTAGAGTAGAGTAGAGTAATGGAATGGTATTGCTGTGGTCAATGAAGTGTAATGTAAAGTAAAGTCGAACGCAGTACTTTGTCAAAGACAAGACGCATGCAGTGAATCGTCCCCACGTGCTAGAGCTATGTCATTGGCCTGTGCGAGGATTGCGGAATCGGACTTGCAGGATGGCGGGGCAGGCATCGCGGGGCATCGAAGCAGCGATTGACAAACGACAAAGTGCAACAACGTGGTAATAGAGCATTGTAGAGTCAAATCAATCCTTTTTACCAATCTATCAGGGCAAGGTGAGTGCAATTGGCCCATCCAAGTGCGCCCTTTACGCCCCGCCCTTCGCAGTTCCGCTCGCAGAGTGAATGCGCAAATCTTTTAATTGGACGTTCTAAGCAGCCCCGGGCGACGACTCAGAAGTTGTCGGCCAAGTCCGCTACGCATCTCCCGCGTCCCATGGGTAATTAAAACCTCGACGGCCGCTGCATCCGTCTCCTCTTCGCCTCGTCGAACATGTCCGTCACAGTTGTCCTCGGCGCCCAATGGGGCGACGAAGGCAAGGGCAAGCTCGCCGACATCCTCGCCCATGAGTCGCAAATCTGCTGCCGCGCCCAGGGCGGTAACAATGCCGGTCACACAATCGTCGCCAATGGTGTTACGTACGACTTCCATATCCTGCCGTCTGGCCTCGTCAATCCGAACTGCATAAACGTCATCGGATCAGGCTGTGTGGTCCACGTGCCGAGCTTCTTCAAGGAACTCGAGGCGCTGGAGAAGCATGGCTTGAACACTGAGGGCCGGATTTACATCTCGGACAGGGCTCATGTTGTCTTTGACGTCCACCAGCAGGTTGATGGACTGGAGGAGGTTGAGCTTGGTCAGGGCTTCATTGGTGGGTTGAAGAGCTTAGTTTGGAGACGCGAGGATGTACTGACTGGAGATAGGCACCACCAAGAAGGGCATTGGCCCAACCTACAGCACCAAAATGACCAGGAGCGGTCTGCGCATGTGCGATCTCTTCGATGAGGAAGTCTTTGAGCAGAAACTCGGCAGGGTCGTCATGGGCTTCCAGAAGCGCTTCGGAGATCTGCTGCAGTACGACATGCAAGCAGAGATTGAGAAATACAAGGTGAGAGTCTAGGAACTATAATTGAATGATGTGACTGACACACTTAGGGCCTCCGCGAGAAGCTTGCGCCATACGTCGTCGACCAAATACCGCTACTCGCATCGGCTAAGGAGAAGAACGCAAAGATCCTGGTTGAGGGTGCAAACGCGCTCATGCTCGACATCGACTACGGCACATATCCCTTCGTCACATCATCCAACACCGGTCTCGGAGGCGTCCTCACCGGCCTCACTCTCGGCTGGCGGTCACTTCGCGAAGTCATTGGTGTCGTCAAGGCATACACCACACGCGTCGGCTCTGGTCCCTTCCCCACCGAACAGCTCAACGAATTCGGCGAGAAGCTGCAGTCCGTCGGCCACGAAGTCGGCGTGACAACCGGCCGCAAGCGCCGCTGTGGCTGGCTCGATCTCGTCGTCGTCAAGCACTCGCACGCCTGCAACGACTACACCGCCCTCAACCTCACCAAGCTGGACGTCCTCGACGACTTTGACGAGCTAAAGGTAGCCACTTCGTACTCCCTCAATGGGCAGCGTCTCGAAGGCTTCCCGTCAAATCCCGATATGCTGGCACAGGTCGAGGTGCAGTATGAGACCCTGCCTGGATGGAAGAAACCTACTACTGGCGCAAAGAGCTATATGGACCTCCCGCTTGCGGCGCGCAAGTACGTCGAGTACATTGAGAACTTTGTTGGCGTCAAGGTCAAGTGGATTGGTGTCGGTCCGGCGCGCGACCACATGATCTCACGGTCAGGGAACATCTGATGTACAGAAAGGTAAATGTACCTCTTTGCATGAGAAAGCAGAAAAGCAAGCTAGATCATGTTAGCAATCTGAAAGCAGTCTTGCTCCACTTTCTTTCGTCAAATTTCCTTCAAGTCTCTTTACCATTCTCAGATTCATCACTAACCCACAGGACATCTACGAGTACACTTTCGTCCGGCAGTCTGCGTCTCAATACTGCCAAGACACCAATCCATTGGAACCAACGATCAATTATCATAATGTAATATTTCCTACTTCACTAATTCCCCCTCACAAAAACACCGCCGCCCCGAGCACCCCAACCATCCCCATCCCCATCCCAACACCCACCTTCCTACTGCCCCCCTGCGCTCCCACAGTCACAACCCCCGTCGCCCCCGGCCCCGCCGAACTCACACCCGTACTCGCACCCGCACTCCCGCCCACCACCCTCCCCGTCTCACTCGCCCTAGGCCCCGGAAACCCCTGCGTCGGCGTGCCCTTCAAATCCCTAATCCTAAAATGATTCCTCGCAATGACGCTCTCCTCGCCGATCCCCGCGTCGCGCAGCATCTTCTCCAGATCAAACGGCACGCGGTTCTGCGCGAGATCCTGCGGGGGCGTAAACGACGCGGGCACGCCGATGAGGTAGAAGGCGTAGGTGTGTGCTACGTCGCCGATCGGGGGGTCTGGGGCTTCGTACGAGACCTGGGCGTTCGGGATGGTGAGGTTCGCGAGGGCGGAGACGGAGGGCGTGGTGGAGGACGGGGTCAGGCCTGTGGCGAGCCAGTGCAGGCGCGAGGCGCGGGAGTCGGAGAAGGGGGCGTCGAGGTCGAGCATGATGATCATGGCGGAGGGGGTGGAGGGGGGCCAGGTGGGTGTCATTAGTTGGGGTGGGTTTTCCATGTCTGGTGAATTTGGTTAGTTGGTTGGATAGTGAGGGGGGGGGGATAGTTACAGCCAGGATGCATTTGTGCGTTGGGCGCATGTATCCTCCTCTCCGCTCCATCGCCGTATACGATTTCGAGAATCTGGTTCTCGGGTATGTCGTTGCTGACGCTCATGCGCCAGCGACCAACCCAACTCCGCTCGCAGCCGCAACAGATCGATAATATCCTTCGTCCGAGCATTTTTTCTTAACTTTTTGAATTTCTGGCCTCTGGGCTGCGGGGGGAGGGCGAGCCGTGGTATTTAAACACACCGCCGATGCGGATGCATTCCGGCGCCATGGTGTTTTGTCCTCTTCATAGTGGTCTTGGTGCGCACGTCACGATGCCCATCCAAGGCGCCGGGTTGGCATTGGCAGAGGTCCCGCCGTCTTGTGTAAACTTTGATTACTACCAAAGCAGCCCCAACATCACAACATCAATCATCCTTGTTTGCTGCAATCCCGCCGTCGATCAACGCACTTGCATCCTTTCACTACACTCTCGCCACGGATTATTCGGCATCTTAGTAGTATCGACAAGAAATACGCCTGCGCCTTGGGAAATTACCCCAAGCTACCCCGTGTGAAGTGCAAAGACACGAGACGCTTCTCACACACTTGAGTCTGTACGTCTTGGCTGAGCCGGAATCCCGGGCCAAGCCCTACACAGCCACCTTCACAAGGACTAGACCGCAACAACGGCGGCAGGGGGAATCTTGGATGTCAGCGCGCGCATCGTGTTCCTAGCTTGCCCGTATTGAAATGAGCAACGCGCTAGCATAGTGAGTCTCGGCGGTAATACTTTATTCAAGATTTTCCACGTTTATGCTCGTAAATGCATGGTAAGGGGTTGGTTTATGTGATTGGAGGATGAGAAAAAGTATGGGATTTGCATGCATTCTACGTCGAGAATGCCACTGGGTATGCCGGTAGGGGGGATATATATAAGACCAAAACCAAAATAAGGAAATTCGTGCAATATTTATATGCAATCGCCCTTCGAATTCCACCATCTCACAAGGATATAGAAAAAGTTGCGTCGTTGGCAACACTACAAGTAGAAAGTCTGTTTGAAAGTGAAGAATGCCCAATGTAGGCCAGAAAGATGAAATACGAAGAGGTTATTTATACACTCCTCTCGGGACTCTCGCCCTCGGCAATAACAGCGACACCCAGCCCGCGGTCCGGCGACTGCAGCACAAGTTGCTCGTGCCGCCGTGCGCGAATGAAATCTGACACGCTCTTGATGAGAATGAACCAGCCCACAATCATCAAGCCGTACGCAATCCAATCGCTTCCCGTGACCGCGCTCGCCGCAGGTGTTAGATCACTGCTTCCGCTGCCCGGCCCTGAAACGGTATCCGGGTCGAAGTCGTGCGAGTTGGGCTCGCTGGGCACGCCGCCTTCGAAGCCTGTGCCGGGTGTGTCATTGCTGCCGCCGCCAGGGTTGAGCACGGCGGAGCGGAACCCAAAGCCGAATTGTACCAGTGTGATTCCGAGACCAGCGCGGGATCCGTTCTTGGCGGCGTGTGTAGTGTGCAGGAGGTATGTGAGGAGGAAGCCGACGAGTTGGAAGGACATGGAGATCATGGCGTTCCAGATGAAACTGAAGAGCGAGCCGACGGGGAGGCCTTCGACGAATACTTCGTCGCCATAGGTTCCGGGTGCGAGGATTGTGGTTTCCCAGTATGGTGGTGTTGCGTCTGCGGCGGCCTGCTCGTATGTCTAGAATGTGTTAGACTTGGGTATTCGTTAGATTAGATAAGAGAAGACATACGGGTGGCTTCTCTTCCGCATCCTGTCCCGGCGTTGGTTTCGCGCTCAGATTCGCCCAAACACCGCCATTACCGCCACCATACACCCGTCCCGTGCTCGGCGCCTGCGTGTTGAAAACTGGAATCTCCGTGACTCTCCTCTGAATGCCGGGGGCGACCGGCTGGTCTTCTGTGGTCGGGTTCCCCCGCATCAGCCGCTGCCTGTCGTCACGCCCATCGTCATCCTCATCGTCGTCCGATTCCGAATCAAATGTGTCGGCAAGTGTACGGTCCTCTTCGTTGGCAACGGGGTCGTCTGCGAGCAGTCGCCGTGATGCGCCACCGTTGGGCGAGGACGCTCGGGAATGGAAAGACGGGGGCGGCGAGGCTGGTGGCCACTGCTGGTTCCCTTGTGCTAATACTGGCGAGTCTGCTTCGTCATTGCCGGCCACCTGTGCATCTCTGTTAGTGTTCTGCGATAAGGGGCCGCGGGCGCACGATGCGTCGGACGAGGTGAGGCGACATACCCGTTCGTAGCCCTGGGGCTGGCATCTTGGCCGGGAGCGTGTGTGTGGAGTTGTGTGTATTAACGGATCGCGGCGGGAAAGTCGACGTAGAAAAGGGAAAGCGAGGGTGGTGGTGGTGGTGGTGGTGGTGATATGGCAGGCGGCAAAGCAAGTCGGAGGCGTGGAGTGGGTCAGGCGGCGGTGGTGTTAGGGGAGTTGCAGCGTCGCCACATGTGCAGGGATCCCGGCGGCTCAGCCACAGTCCCGTCCATGCATCACATAAGCGAACTAGACTCTCCGATTCCACGGTCCGCGTCAGGGCATCATACATTTTTTGGCCCGTAACGAATACGCGAGTGAAGTCACGTCAAAGTCGGTGCAACCGTTGCGCCTTCCCCTTTCCCTTCCCACACTTCACCATGGCAAGCACAGTGAGTCTATGGTCGACGTCCCTCAAGCCCTTCAAAGCTGAATGTTCCAAGATAGCGAAACAATACACCCGCATACTCACCCTCTGGCCCAAAGATGCCCTGCGCCCAAATCTGCCCTTCACACGCGCAATCGAGTACCGTGGCTCACCGTATGGCGTAAAACCCGTCGAGCCCGCGCCAGAAGTTTCCAAGAAGGAAGCTACGCCTGTAAAAGCGTCCGCGCCCGCATCACCGCGGGACCCCAAGCTCGAACAGGCGCAGGTGAATGCCCTGTTCTCGCTGCTGGAAGCGGGAGGGCAAGGACGGTTTCGCCATAAATACGCCTTGTCGCCGGAGCTGCTCAAGCCCGCCTCTGCGCCCGAGCACTACGAGCGCCTCATGGCTGAGATTGAAAACGCACCCAAGAAGAGCTGGTGGCAGGCCTTAAGGTCGACGAGTGGAAGATGAAGATTCGCTGGACATGAGTTACGAAAAAGGTCATGTTGGGAGAAGCGCATGTACAACAATGTAGCAAAACGTATGAGTATGCATAACGCGGCGTTCAGGGACGGCAAGCTTGCATGATACGCAGGAATATTATCAGGAGGATCAAATGGATTAGATATGTTCCAAGGCGGGGTCGCAAATGTAGCCTACAAAAGTCGTTGACAACCCAAACTCAAAAAAAAAACACTGGGAACACCTCATGTGTTCACCGCGGGGTATCATAAAAGCAAAGACCGGAACGCCGCACCTTACGCCTTTCAGGAAGCTCTACCACCAGTTACTGTTCCGCGTCCGGCGCGTCGATCGCCTCCACCCGCTGCTCCCATCCTGCCGCGGAGTGTCCTGTTCAGCCGGCTGCCGAGTGTCTTGCTGCCGAGTAACCAACGCAGGCGCTGGTGCTGCCTTCCTCGGAGTCTTCCTCACCACCTTCTGCGCAACCCCACGAGTTCGCTTGGACGAAGAGTCATTCTTTTCCTCTTCAGACGGCTTCTTCTTATTCTTCGGGGTGGTCTTCTTCTTCTATATCACAGTCAGCATACCCCATTTTGTATAGCCTCAATACACTCATATTTCACCTTCTCGCTCTCCCACTCCGACAGATCTGACGGGCAATCTGACAGTGGCGACGAGCTATCGCCTGACTTCGCTTTGCTTGACTTCTTCGGCGTAACTTTCCCTCTCTTAGACATGATCTTCACACTGCTCTTCCGTCGCTCTACCCCATCTATCTCACCCAGCAGACCCCCTTCATCATCCACGTAGCCACCCTGCCTATCCTTGACCGCTATATCCGAAACGAACGTCACCTCAATGGGAGTATCACCTCTCGCAGCTCCTCTCAGCATCGAGCTCGGTGTCAGAACCTGCTCTCCCCCGGCCTCTTCGTCGTCCGAGAACATCGGCGGCAGCGGCGTTGGAGCGCGCGCAGCGGCGTCAAGGCAGTCGAAAGCGCGATACACTGTTGTTACATCAGCGCTGCCGAGCGAGCTTGTGCGCCGCCCGCAACTTACCTCCCGCCTCGTCAGTGAAGCCGTCCGAGGTCATGGTGTAGGTGCCGTCGTAGAATTTGCGGGAGCGCGCGGTGATGGCGAGAGTGGCGGGCAGATGCATTGCTGCGGTCAGGTAGCTGCAGAATAGGAGATGTTATGTTGGTGGTGGAGTGCTGAATCGGGAATTGGATATGCAGTCTAGCTTGACAGTTGGCTTGTAATTGAGACGCGTGTGTCTTGTCGGGTTTGGTCAAAGGTATGGGGGGAAAGAGCAGAGAAATCGCGTTATCAAGACGGAAGTAGGCGATGTTGACGTGTGCGACAGGAGCGGGCCGCCTGCATACGGGTATCAAACAGCGCGGGCCTTTCACCTGAGAGGCGATACATCGTAAGGAGCACTCAACAGCAGGTAGATGATGGGACTGCTAGCCATGGTGGAATAGAAGAGAGTGATTGTCTGCGGTAGGAGCGGCACGCTATCAACCAGAGCAAGCCGCTCCTTTTCACCTTTGGAAGTAAATAATGTTCAGCATCGTTTGGCAGCCACGAGCAAGGAAATCGTGTAAACGAATCGAGCAAAACGAGCAAAGAAGAACCGAGCAGGCCATATAGTACCTGTTTAATCGTGAAATGCTAGCAGTCTAGTGTATATGATAGAGGACATAGAAGAGGTGAGGTTGATATCACCTGCGCAAAGGCAAACACAGCAGCGATGGGGTTGCGCGCTTTCACTTGCATCTGCCGTCCGAAGGTACACCTACACATATATCATGCGCACGTGCAAAGCTTTCCAAGGTAATGTTGATGTTAAACATGAGTTATCAACATTTATTTGAAGCAAGGAAACATTGATAGTCTATACTGCAAGCGTATCAAGCACGCCGTATATCTATGTGCAAACGCCTCTCCGACAATGCAAGTGTACGAACGCCTATGCCCCACCACGATAGCTTGTTGACAAGGTAAGAAAAGCATCTCCTCTCCCACAGGGTATGGTACAAGCCGCCCGTCGCTAAATCGAATCTAAGAGAATGGCACAACTCGCAACACAGGCGGAACGTTCCCATATCCAGCTCACAGCCTCGCCCTACGAAGCGCCCGCTGCCCCAGCGTAGGCTGGCACAGGTTGCTTTGCCGCGATTGTCTGCGCTAGAGTCTCACGCTCCTTCTTTTCCTGCTCCATCATCGCACGGTCAGCCTTGGTAACGCGAGGTTTGCGCACGGTGGAGCCACCGCGAGAACCTGGACCGCCTCCTCGACCTCGGCCTCGGCCTGCCGCATCGCCTCGCGCAGTGCCTCCGCGTCCTCGTCCGCGGCCTCGTCGAACGGTGCCATCGGCCCTGTATAGTGTTAGTGAAATGTCATGCTCGAGATTGGATTAGTGCTCACCTCTCAACAGCTGGCTTCTCATCAGTGACGAGCGGGCCGCTGTATACAAAGAACCCGTCCTTGGCCATGAGCGCTTGCTGCTCCCATGCGAGCTCAGTGTCGTCGATGAAGTCGTCCTCCTTGTCATAGTCTTCTTGCTTGCGCTTCCTCCGCTTCTTGCCGCCGTTCTCACGAGCGGAAGTCTCATCGTCCATGCCACCCATCTCAACATTGCTCTCGTTCTCTGACAGGTCGACGGACATGTCATCGTTCGAGCCACCCCCTTGGGCTCGCTCAAGCGCAGCACCAGCTGCGGTGATCTGTCGCTGGCGCTCACGGCGCGCGGCAATCCGAGGGTGCAGAGCCGCAAAGCCATACTTCTTCTCCACCTCCTGAGCGAAGTTGATGGTGACATTCTCGCGTCCCTTGAGGTCGAAGGTCAGCCAGATGTTGGCGCCTGGGGTCTCGCCAGTGCCAGTGCCGCTCGCAACAGGTCCAAACGGTGTGCCGGACAAGAGCCCGCTACCTGTAGGCAGGGGCGGTGGGGCTTCTTTTTGGCGAACAGGTTTGGCAGGCGGTGTTGGCGCGTTTGTGTTAGACGCGGTGCCTGAATTTGTGGAGTTGGTCTTCGTCATGGGAACAGAGGAGGGGCTTGCTTGGCTCAGAATCGATCTCCATGGGCATGGGTGCGGGAGGCGCCGAGTAGCTTTGTGGTGGTGGTTTGGTTGTTGCGTTCAGCTGTTGTTGTTGAAGCAAGGCATGTCTTGATTAAGGAAAGGAACCGACCCAGGCCGCACAGAAGAAGGCCGGCAGGAGAGACCCGGTGCAGACGTGACTGAAGTTCTGGTGCTGGAAGCTTGCCACGGGCTGTGGGTAGAAAGGAAATGGCTCGCAGAAGGTGGGTCGGATCAAACTCGTGATTGAAGGGCGACGCACTTGCGCGATTGAGCGGCGGCGAAAACGAGAGGCGGCGCACTTGCTGGTGCCTGGGGCTTCGTTTCGAAATACACCGCCTCGGATGGGATCATAGCGCTGCCCTGAGCTGGAAGGCCGTGGTGTGGAAGGAGCGACACTGATGTGGGACAGGTTTGGATTGCTGTGAAGCGTGGGCTCCGGATTGCTCAATACGCGAGGAGCCTGCGTAACGGCAGGTGGCAGCTCTGGCTGGGGGGTCGGCGCCGGCTCGCTGGGTACTGTTTGTGGTGTAGGCGACTGCTGCACAGGCGGCTTCTCGTCGACGGGCTCTGGTGCTGGTGTAGTCTGTGGCTCCAGCGATGCCTTTGTCCGCCTCTTACGCTGCACAGGTTGTGCATTTGGATCCTTGGGCTCAGCTGGCTTGCGGGGCTTTCTGGACTTCTTCTCTGGCTCGGGCGCATTTGGATCTTTTGCTTTGGGCTTTGGACCTGGCTTTTTCCGCGGCTGTCCCGATGCTGTGAGGCCTCGTGGCGCAGGTGACGATGTTACGTTTCCAGGGGTGGTGGCACCTCCAACACCAACACCACCAGCAGACACTCGGATAGTGGAATTTGGCGTGCCCTGCTCTGGCGAATGCGGGGGCGAGCTCAGACTGCCGGGGGAAGATGCATCATTGGCATCCATGGCGAAGAACACGGAAACTATCCAAGTTGTCGGCGCCCTCTACGCGCGTCGAGAGTCGTATACAACAGGATAGAGTGTATAAGACTGTCCAGAAATATGGAGCGCGACTAGGGCGCAGGTAGCGCAGGTGACGGGTTATGCGGCAGGTTGTTGGCTGCAAACTCAACACCAAAAGTTGCGGATTGCGTCTAGCACGATAGTGTCGAGAACACCAAAGCGGGCGTCGAGTTAGTTGCCGGGCTCGGGAGCCGCCTAGAGGGTGTCTGGTGCACGGAAAGGAACACCAAGATTCGCCCCCTAACAAGAGTTTGATGGCCGCGATCACGGCAAAGGCGTTATTGATGATTCTGCAACTACAGCGGCGTAAATCTGGACAGAAAAGAAAGAGAAAGAGAGAAGAAAGCGAGCGGGAGGCAGACGTGTTCAAGAGGGAGGGGGCAGTCTGGTCTGATCTATAGAAACGCGATTGACCAGCAGGGCCTGTGCGGTTACGACGAGCGAGCCCTACATAAGAAAATCAGTCTACGCCAGAGAAGCGACATCCGGGGCTGCTGCCCGCCGTTGTGCTGTGAATAGACCCTGCAAACTATGTGACCATGTCGCGTCTATCGCCCAAGCATGCGTCCAAGATGGCGGGACTTCAGCAAACAGCACCGCTATGCCTTTGTATGTTTCTTCCATATCTTGAGACTACGATAGCCATGTCTGTTCTGCATACGCTGGAGAAGCCAAAGTAGCACGCTGACCCCCTCCAAGCTCGAGCATACATCCAGTGTGCGATGAAGCAGGCGCATTAGCCGCCTGGCACCGACTGCATAACGTCAGCCGCGGCAGTCATCAACAGATCATCGTCTCCACGAGCATACTCTCGTTCGACTTTGCATCATCGGCTGCTCCCATCAATACAGACGGTCAATCGTCAAAACACACAGTGTGTAACCGTGTTTGATGGATGGGGTTTCAACATGCTGCAGTTTCCGATTTAGCTGCATTTGGTGGAGATGGCCCGTGCGAGTTTCCGATCGCGACAGGGATTAAAATAGCGATTGGCTCCGAGTCGAACAAGCCTCCAGGCACAATTGACGTGCATTCGGGGAACGTGTGGAACCCGATGCTACTGCGCCATCCCGCTTTTAATGAGATACCAGTTGTACCGCTTTGATTTCGCATATAAAGGTGCAATTATCACGCAGTGTTGGAGCTAGAGTAGATTTCGAGTTAAACTTTAGCCGTGTTGGCTATAATCTCCCAGGAAGTCAGCGTTCTCGCACGAAGAGAGTATCCTGGATAGCCTCGCACCGTTAAACAATCCGATTTGCAGCTACACCAGTCCTACAACAGACGTACAACGTGTATCACAATATACAACTGTTGATGCTGTTGAAGATGCGAACGGAATTCATGCAGAAGTTTTCGGCTGTCGGACCGAGACTGATAAAATCAGCCCCGTCGATCCCGATACGGCAAATAAGAATGCAAGACGTTGTACTCATATAATGGACCATCCTGAGACACATCGCCAGTCATCATTCCAGCTCGAGTCATTAATTCCGCATGCTTAGTCTGGGCCACGACACATATCTATTCTGGCATGGAGCTTGAACTTCTATAGCCGCTCATGGTGGCCGTTTTGGAGTTGAGCGATGTCCTGGAAAATCCCACATTTCTCATAGCCGCTCATGGTGGCCTTTTGGAGGTGAGCGATTGTCTGTCCAGAACAGCCAGATCGTCGTACGAAAGTTCAAGAACTAAGGAACATGTACATTATGAAAAAAATAAAATTGAATGTATGCGGGGCTCGAGTCCATGTTGTTGGTTGTCCAATATAGCGCAACCATGGTTTACAAAAAACATGTGTCGACCACGGTTGAATTTTCGACTACCACAGATCGTGTTATAAAAGAATTTAATTCCAATTTCTTCCTCAATCCACCTGTTCTCTCAGAGTTATTTCAGAGTTCCAAAAGTCTTTCAATCTGCACATGTTGCACATCTCAAAAACCCCAATCGACCACAGCATGTCACAGAACGATCCGAAATCCCGAAAGCGAGGACAAGATGTCAGCGAAGAGTCTCAGTTCAGCCGCAGCGCTTCTCTCATGGAAAGAATGATGGAGTCCATTCAGCTGGAAGAGAAGTTGAATCCCAAGTTGACGCTCAGGCGCTTTCTTTCTGTCCGGTCCATCATCTCCACGGCCTCTTCTTTTGCCGAGAGACAGCAAGCCGCTGTTGGTACCCGATCTCTCTTTAGATCTCTGGGAGCTGGTACTTGTGGCAGAGTTTATGAGGTGCCAGGTACTACGGACATCTTCAAAGTTGCGAATTACCCTGGACAGGACACAGATCAGCTGTGGAACGACTACGAAATGCACAACAAAGTCTCTGAGGTCTTTGAGAAATGGGGTCGCGACAAAATAGAAGTCAGGGTTCCCAGACTCAAGTACTTCGTTGGTCAGAGTGACAAAATCTGGTGGCCAGAGAACCTGGACCGCTTCCCCTCACAATTTCTGAAGGAGCCTTCAAACTTGCTCTGCGCTGAAAGAATCCTACCACTCGCAAAGCCGATCCGAGAGTCATTAATTGACATCTATGCACCAAAGGAAGCTGACCTCCAGAGTTTCAAGGCTGATGTTTCCAACAAAGACTGCCTTGTAAGAATGTACTTGGGAAAGAGAAGGGAAAGGGTCAACAATAAATTCTTCCAGCTCAGGAACTTCAACCTTCATCTCGACCAGATGGAAGAGCTGGATCTGAGTATCTCCGAGTTTGCATCTGCCATCGGACAAGCTCTGGCAATTATGCACTGGGCTTGTCATCTGGATGCCAACGATGTCGAGTTCGTCCTCGGATCTTCTCCCGAGCTGGTGGCCCAACCACATCTGATCATCACAAAGCCGTTGTCCACGAAAGCCATTGCGAACATGTCACCCAACACTTCCACTTGGGATGCGCACATCAATGACTTCAAGAAGAGGACCACTCACATGTGGATGCTGGACTTCAACAGGTGCAAAGTGATGTCCACAAATGTAGACGAGATGCTTCTCCAGCTGGTCCATTCATATTTCAGGAACGACCCTTACTTCCCAAGACCTGTACCTCCAAACTCGAAGGATGCACCGCTGTGGGATGTCTTCAGGACCTCTTACGAAGAAACTGCTTCCGACTGCATCAAGCGAAACTTGAGTCCGTCGGGTTGTTCTGGTCTGCCTCACAGGTTCATGGACATGGTGGTGGCTGAGCAACAGAAGAAGGTGTTGAAGAGGTCAACTTGAGTGTGCTTGGAGTGTTTTCATTGCTCTCGGGTTCTGGAAAAGTTTGTAACTTACTGCCATTCTGAATGTACTATATATCTATTATGGCATGGAGCTTGAGCTTCTCTGCAGGAGGCGGAAGGCCATCATAACAATCACTTTCACACTGAGGAATCTTGCATAACACAGTAACTGAGAGTTGGAAAGGGTGATCATGTCGCTGTGAACAGACGAACAGTCGTTTGTATTCACGTCGAGCACGCTGTACGCGCCCTGTCTTAGAGCCCTTTTTTCAGGATCAATGCTGATGCTCTGGAGGGTATCGTCGGAGTATGGAGAATTCTTCTCCGTCAGTCTAACATGGACACTTACTCTGCATGCTGTCCTAGGTGCCGTTTCCTTCCAACGCCGTTTGCGAACCAATCCCTTTTGGGGCTTCGTAACCATGATATCATGCCGTAACTAGTCGTAGTGAAATTGATCATGCAGGTTGCTCGTAAGCGCGCTTGATCACTCTCGCAAATTCTGGGCTATCGGTCAGCAAAAAGTTCAAGGCATGATTCTTTAATTGCCACTTACGGTCGAACTTGACATTCTCCCTTACGACGGTGCCCTTGGCCTCGTTGTCCTTGTTCATGGGCACCTTGATCTTGGCACCCTCAATGGTCCAGCCACATACGCTGCCCACGAAGTGCTCAAAGTCGCTACCTTCAAGGTTCAACCACGACTCCAAGATGCTCCTGTCGACCTCTCGTACCGCCTGGCTGACTGTGGCCGCAATGCGGACGCGCATCAGCTCCTCGAAGCCTGACACGTCGGCGATCAAGTCGGCGTACAGGTCGTCCGAGTCCAGGGTGGACCAGAAGGTGGCGTAGTCAGCACCCTCGAGCAAATTCCTCAGCTCGTTGAGCTTCTGGACTGCTTCTGACAGCGGCGCATCACCGGCTGCGGGGTTGTGTGCTGAGGAGTTGAGGGGTGCGAGGAGGTGGCTGGGCAGGAGCGAAAGGCCGAGAGCAAAGTCGGGGCTGGGGAACATGGTGAGAGCCTTGACGAGGATGTTGGTGACGGTCTCATCGCGCGAGAGGTGCGGGTTGAACTGGTAACTATGATGCCGGTGTCAGTACAAGAATCGTAACTCATGCGGTGTTGACAGTTGGTAGTAGATGGCTTTCAGATAGAGCTAATAATTGAACTTCAGTGGGCGGAGTGATTCAAGCCCCATCCCTCGGGTAATAGGAAACGTTGTGGTTCTTTGTTCATCATGCAAGACACGTAAGAGATAGAGATAAGGCGACTGACGTACAGCTTCAGGAGAGCGAGGTTGGCGTAGCAGTCGTACGTTTGGCTCTCGCACTGTTGCATGACATAGTCCTGGAAGACACCCGTTGTCTCTGGGTTGTATCGATCGAGGCCATCGAGGATCTGCTGGATGTGATCCGGCCGCTCGGGCGCGAAGTCGTATGGTGCTCCCATGATGTGTGGTGGACGCGTGGGGTTTCGAGGGTGTTAAAAGCTCTGTCAATTTGAGCCCACAGTGCGGGCAGCGACGATGCACGAGCCACATGGCACAGCCACACTAGCCTCACGACTTTCCTCAGTGACTGTTCGCGCCGCAGTCAGAAAAAGAACTTTCAATAGATTTGACAGAGATTAATGGGTCCAAATACTCGCCTAATCTGGTATGTACCAAGTATCGCAACGTCACGACAGTCTAAGCCTTCCCTGTCACTACACGAAGCAATACGTTCACTCGAATTTTGGCAGTCATCAACACCTGAAATTTGAATTCCTAATCAGGCAGGTACCAAGTCTCCCAGAGAAGTGTTGAAGATCATATCTGGAAGAAACAAGAAGTTGAGCTACAAGCAACATATGCATACGACACGGTAGAGTAACAACAGAAGAAAACTACTGCAGGTTCTCACCTACGACGGAAAGCGACCAGGTTGCCTGAAGCAACACACGGGGCCTTGCTGTCATAACCAAGGCGTCGCGATAGTGTGTATAGCTTTGGGCTACTAAGTGCCCTTGTTACTTTCCCTCGTAGTTGACAACCTGCAAAATTGTAAAATAACACACTCAATCATTCGCTAAAGTTCTATAGAAACTTCACCTCAAATCCTCCCTAAAACCCAAACTTACTCTTCATCGCCCCCATAACCAATCCCCTCTTCTGCTTGCCCACAAACTTATTCACATCATCCGCCCACCCGGCGCTGTTATTGGACAAGTTATTCATGCCTTCGCTCACTTGATTCAATCCCTCCGTACGCTCGTTGAACTGGCGAGTCGCCCACGCGCTCCAGCCTTCATTCGCTGGAGGAGCATTGGTTGGATACGATGGATACGCTGAGCTAGATGAGGAGCCTGGTCTCGGGTTCGAGCGAGCGGCGGAGCGGCGGGCTTGTTCGGCTTCGGAGCGGGCTTGGGCGAGCATACGTTTTGAGGGTGGGCGGTCTGGGCCTCCGACTGGGTGTTGCGTTAGTGATACTTCCAAAGGATATCATTTGGATGCATGCAGTGGCACAGGTCAACTTACTCAGGAGATCCATGTCGGCTGGCGTTACATATTGCGTGCCAGAGATCCATTGAATGTTGCTGATAGTTGGCCGAGGAGGGATGAGCATGTCAGGATTCATGAGGATGTCCTTTGTTCGGTCGCTAATTGATTTATTAGCATGCTTCCAAGAATGCGTGCGACTTCACTTACAGTTGCAGACCACGACCAAACACGTTGATCAAAGCCATCTCCGCAGGTCCTTTCCACCCGAGAATATCTCCCGTACTCGTAATCACAGCTTCGGAGAAGCGTCTTATGTCTAGGTAGTCACTGACTTTGACCGAACCAATTTCCTTCAAGGCGGGTAAAGAGTATGCTCGTGCACATCCATCACCGTAAAGCCCCAGTAGCGCGTAGCTCACTTCTTCAAATCGGACTACAGCCGCAGAATCGCACAAGAACTGATCAAAGCTCTTGTGCGCGCCCTTGTGAGTAGCTGGTTTGAATAGTCTCGCCCCAGAAGCGGTGACTGCGAGAAGCACACCATTGATCTTTGATCCGGTGCGAAGATTTGCAACCGCCGACTGTGTTGCGTATGCTGGCCGTCCAGTTTCGGCGTACATGGGGCAGATACTGACGATCTTGTCATCCAGGGAACAGACTCCTGCAAACTTCGCCGTGTATTGCCCACTGGATTCTGGAAGGAGCTTGAATGTAGCAAGATGACCTAGATTAGTCCCAACATGTACTGCAATGCTTGAGAAGTCGTCTCCTTCAAGTGTCATCACACTAATCTCGATGCACGTCGGCCATTCAGCTTTAGTCACCGGCTCGTTCGAGCTCCGTCGAAAGCTTCCGCGCTTGTCGGGTTTGACAAAGTCGCGGATCGCACCTCTGTATATGACCGCCGGTCCTCGCAGGTCGATGATGGCCATACTGCCTCCTTCGAAACCGGCCACCACAAAACCTACGTCTGAGTGTTTTAGCGCAGTGACTGGGCCGTTACCTTCGTCTAAGAGCGTGAAAGGCAACAAACCCTCCTTGAGTGCCGCCTCGGCTCTGTGTGTGATGTTGGTGAGTTCCTTGGGCGTGTTATCGCCAGGTGGGAATTCTTGGCCGGGATGTTTGTTGGTATTCCACCTGAAGACGACGACTTCACCAGATCTCAAGCCCACAGATAATTCTGAAGCTGCGCCTGCGAATGATGTCTTTGCGATGGCAGCGTCTTGGCGGCCGACTGCCCGAGCTACGTCGACTTGCAATAGTGTATCGTTCTCGAGTTCGTCGGCGTGACCCGCATCCCACAATCGGACTGTTCCGTCTGCATGGGCAGTTTGAACAACATTTCGGTGTTCAAACCGCTTCAGCGGACTCACAGCGCCCGCACCGCCTTGGAGGAGTTTAGGGCCGTGTGAACGCTTCTCAGTCATGCCAAGCCACCTCGTCCGCTCCACAGGGGCAAGATTCAAGTAGTTGGTATATGGATGAACGAGAGTCATCGAGAGATGCAGTTGGTTGGTAGGGGTAATCGGCATGCCGCTCGGAAAAGAGAGTGTAAGAAGCTCCCCAGATGCAAGCAGCGCAATAATGGCTAGTGGGTCATGACAGCCAGCAAAATGTGGAGACGACCGAGGAATCAAGAACAAGTCGACCACTTCAGAGCCAGGTGGACAAGGTAGGATACGCTGTCTCTTGGGGTTCTCAAAGTGTTCTGAGAGTACCTGCCACGAGGATGTGTTGTACATGGGCGTCCGGCCCATCTCGAAGAGGGTCAGACTCTTCGGGATGATATTGGATGGCTGTCCGCCAGCGATCAGTACTGCAGTATCGTCTGGATCCTGATTCGCACACCAAGCAATCTTGAAGATGGGTGATTTGAGCGCGAAGGACCCCTCTACAGCTCCAGGACTAAAGCTCCCAGGTCCAGGCTTGTTGATATTGGTGTCTTGCAAGGTCCGGGCCTGCACGATCCTGCCATCTTTGGCGTCCCATATCACAATGCTACTATCCTCATGGCCGGTGAGGACAAAGGTACCAGTTGGATGCCAGACAGCCTGTGTCAGAGGCGGTTCACGTTCTCTGGAGATCATACCAGGGTCCGAGTCACCACCTGGGGCACCCTTCGGAAGTACGTAGTTGAAGAATTGCAGAGCTTTGTTTTGTTTGAACGAGTATATGACTGCACCGGAGTTGTAGCCAATCAAGAGAGATCCAATGTCGCGTGGGTGTAGTGCCAGCGTCACGATTGACGTCAACCGCGCTCGAGGAAACTGCGCCTTCCAGAGATTCGGTATCTTTAATGGTGTGAGACACTCGCGGTCGAGGTCATATGCAATGACCTCACCATGTTGTGTGCCGAGGAGCGCATAGTCGAGCGTTGGGTCGCTATGCAGTGCCGTGATCTTCGCTGGTGGAGAGTGCGCGTTGATGAGCTTTTTGGTCTCCAAGGAAAAGACGGAGAGATCGTTCTTCGAGTCGACGCATAGCAGCTTCTCTGCGCAGAACTGGAGTATCTTTACTGAGGCCTGGCGTGGCAGTGGTAGGACTACCTCAACCCTGTTCTGCCCGAAGATGTAAATCTGACCGTTTCCGAATTTGCTCTCGCTGGTGCCGACGGCTATCAGGGACTGTACAGGGTCGTATGCGATTTGTGTGATTTTTGAATTTATGCCATAGTTGCGAATCTTCAACAGTCAGCTCGTTTGCGCGCATACCAACAAGGGCAACAATGGGGTGCGAGAAAGTGGGCGCATACATGGTCGAGTACGAAGAGATCAGGTCCAAGGCCGGCGGAAAGATCGCTGTGTATGCCGGCTTGTTTGCCGCGTAGAAGATGTGCCATGGTGGTGTGTCATAGCTGTGAGTTGGTACTCAAGAGCTGGATATCAGCGCTCCGCGTGTCGCATGGATCGGCTTGCACGGTATGAGGGCTAACGTCATGCAGGGTCCAAGCTGCGGGCGCTACGTCGGAACAATCGGAACCAATTCACACTATGTACCACCAACGAGCGGATACATGAAGACGAGATAAATTCTGTACGTTCCGCGTGGAACAGTGGATGAAGGCCATTCTTAATTCCGTCAAGATACTATCATTACAGCTACCTCTTTTTGAGGATCTAATATGTAGCAAAACAATCCAAGCACAGGACGCTGGTTGCGCCATCCGACCACAAGCATCTATTGGATGAGCTCACCACGAATAACGGAGCCAAAGTACCTTTAAGAAGCATTCAATCGAGTCCTGAGTTGTTAATACACCTTTGTCAATCGCCCGTAAAAACGCCTGGCTACAAAGTGTTGTCCAAGTAACTCCCTCATGTGTTTTTGCCAACACTAGTCATTTCCCTGTGGCTGCTCAGGTTGACATCGATGCACCGTTTGACTGCCCATTGTACGAGCCGTTCGGTGGTTGAGGTGTGCCAGAGCCTGCCCTGCTACTGCTGAAACTAGACTGCGCAGCTAGTCGAGCTTGCGATTGTGCCACAGCTTGAGCCTGTTGCCTGTCCATCATCATCTGCTGGGGATTGGCGGGTATACCTCCGAACGTGGTGGATGGTGTGGGCGCCTGTGGCGTGCCGTACTGTGATGGACCATAGTAAGAACTTCTCGCTTGTCCACCCGCGACGGGCGTGCTATAAGCCGGCCGTGCGTTGAATGCTGACAGCGCTGGTGCAGGAGTGGCTTTCAGAGGTGACACGCCCGCTACTTGCGGTGTTTGAGAACCGTTGTACATCAAGGACGAATTCTGTGCTCGTGGCATGTAGCCGTTCTGTGCTGGCTGCGCCGTATAGCGGTTTTGCGGCTGGGTCTGTGGGGTGGGTGCCTGATATTGAGAAGCCGCGGCGCCCCCGTAAGTACTCAGCTGTGCCGAGCGCTGAGGGTAGTACTGCCCAGATGGTGTCTGTCCATAACTAGGGCGTGGTGTCTGTTGACTATAGGACTGTGTGTTGGAGTAGCTTCTCGACGACGGAGCATACGACGCACCGCCCGCCTGATAGCTATGGGACGTTCCGGATGGAGAGCGTTGGGAGAGCATAGAGGACGATCGGTGGAGGGATTGTTGCTGCGGGTAAAAGGACTGTGTTGTTTGGACAGGTCGGGTGCTGGACTGGTGCACTGATGCCGCAGGGCGGCTATACTGGGCACTACCCGCAGGATAGTGAGCATGAGTTCCAGAGCCAGTACGATGGAGAGTCGCTGGTGTCGCAGCAGCAACAGGCGGCGCTTTTGCGAGCCTGGAGAGGGCGTCCTCTTCCAAAACGCCCTTGTACTCTTTCGTGTCGAACAATATAGTCCGGCTGATGTTTAGTTCGTCAAGCTGATCACCGTTCAACTTGGCTACAGCATAGGGCGGAAGCTGGGAGACTAGCAAAGTCAGTTGCGATTTGAGGATTTGGTATACATCAAATTCTTCCGTCGATGGTGTTGAGGGACTGCCGGCTAGTGAAGCTAGAGATGAGTTCTGCACCACCGGTGTGCGCGGGTTGGTCGTCAACGAAGAGTTACGTATCCTCTGATGTGATGCAAGGGTCTCCAGTAGCTCTGAGATCTCCTGCAAAACTTCGTCTGTGCCCTTCTCCTCGTCGCTTTTCTCTTCAGAGACGGACAAGATTGCAATGTCCACTTGTTCAAAGTTATCGACGGCGTCTTTGAAGGTTGCCTCCTCGTCCGCCGCATTAATGGCTTCAATCTCAACCGCCTCTTCTGCATCGAGGAGTGCTGGGTCGATCGGAAACATCTCATTGAAGCGTTTCTCACCCACCCTCTGCCACCAGACCCTGTTCTTGGTCTCTTCAGGTATGATAGCGGTACTGTCATCGCGAGTAGGTGCAAAACTCGAGTACGCGCTGCGAAACAAGGCGTCTTCCTTTGCCTGCTGTACGGCGACAAGGCTAGCCTCCGAAGGAGGTTGCTGCGCTTCACCCATGCTCAACGCTCGTTGTCGACTCTTTTGCTTTGCTGTGGGCGATGATTGGTCCTTGGGCAGGTCGACTCCGGCATATCCCAACCAGAAGCCAGCGGACAAGTTCTGATGCGCATAAGACTGAGAACCCTTACGGCTAGGCTTAGGCATCTCTGGAGGGGCAAATGTAATTGTGTGACTTTTCCCGGTGGTGGGCCGCGCAGCTTTTGGTGGGCTGATCTGTGGTAGATGGGCAGGTGCTCGAAACACTTCACCAATCGTTGTGATCTTCTTCTCCTTGGTGTCTGCCTGATCTGGAAGCGGATAGACCTCTGTCGTGGACATGATATTTGGCAAGGAAGATTCGCGCAACGGAAGAGTGATTTGGACGGACGTGTCAACGGAGGTCGGTGCTGGGCCTGTGGCCACGATCTTCCTGGACTGCTGGAGACTCGAGA